GTTATTCAGAAGAAGTTGCTTAAAGATTTTAACATATTTAACACCTTTGACCTTGAATATGAGTTAAGGTCATTTATTTGAACCAACTTGGTGGCCCTTCATCCCAACATGCTACTGACCCAATATCATCACCCTTGGCATTTTGGTTATTCAGAAGAAATTGTTTACAGGTTTTTAAAGAATTTGAACCCTGTGACCTTGATTAGGAGTAACGTCATTCATTTGAACAAACCTGGTAGCCCTTCATCCCAGCATGCTACTGGCCAAATATCATCACCCTGGGCATTTTGGTCATTCAGAAGAGGTTGTTTAAAGGTTTTAAACATATTTGACCCCTGTGACATTCAATATGAGTGAAGGTCATTCATTTGAACAAATTTGGTAGCCCTTCCTCCCAGCATGCTATTGGCCAAATAGCATCACCCTGGGCATTTTAGTTATTCAGAAGAAGTTGTATAAATATTTTAACATATTTGACCCCCCTAACCTTGAAAATGAATGAAGGTCATTTTTTTTAACAAACTTGGTAGCCCTTTATCGTAGCATGTTATTGGCCAAATATCATTATCCTAGGCCTCTTGGGCATTCAGAAGAAGTTGTTAAAGGGTCTTTTTAAGACAATTGACCCCTGTGACCTTGAAAATGACTGTAGGTCATTTATTTGAACCAACTTGGTAGCCCTTCATCTCAACATGCTACTGGCAAAATATCACAACCTTTGACCTTTTAATTATTCAGAAGATGTTTTTTTAAAGTTTTAAAAGACAATTGACTCCTGTGACCTTGAAAATGACTGAAGGTAATTCATTTGAACCAATTTGGTAACTCTTTATCCCAGCATGCTACTGGCAAAATATCACAACCCTTGATCTTTTAGTTATTCATGAGATGTTGTTTAAAGGTTTTAAACATAATTGACCCCTGTGACATTCACTATGAGTGAAGGTCATTCATTTGAACAAACTTGGTAGCCCTTCTTCCCAGCATACTATAGGCCAAATATCATCACCCTGGGCATTTTAGTTATTCAGAAGAAGTTGTATAACGATTTTAACATATTTGACCCCATGTATCCTTGAAAATAAACGAAGGTCATTTGTTTGAACAAACTTGGTAGCCCTTTATCGTAGCATGCTATTGGCCAAATATCATTATCCTAGGCCTCTTGGGCATGCAGAAGAAAATGTTGAAAGGTTTTTAACATATTTGACCCCTGCGACCTTGAAAATGGGTGAAAGTCATTTGTTTGAACAAACCTGGTAGCCTTTCATCTCAACATGCTACTGAGAAAATATTATCATCCTATGCCTTTTGGTTATTGAGAAGAAGTTGTTTAAAGGTTTTTATTATGTTTAACCCCTAAGACTTTAAAATTGGTTGAAGGTCATTTGTTTGAACAAACCTGGTAGCCCTTAATTCCAGCATAATACTGGTCAAATATTATTATCCTAGGCCTCTTGTGTACTCAGGAGAAATTGTCAAAAGGTTTTAAATATGACCTTGAAAACGGTTGAAGGTCTTTTGTTTAAACACATTTAGTAGCCATTCATCTAAGCAAGATACCGGCCAAATATCATCATCCTAAACCTTTTTGGAATTTTTAGAATTTTGGCTATTCAGAAGAAGTTGTTTATCTATTTTTTTTACATATTTGACCCCTGTGACCTTGAAAATAGGTGAAGGTCATTCATTTGAACAAATTTGGTAGCCCTTTATCTCAGCATGCTACTGGCAAAATATTATCACCCTATCAATTTTGGTTATTTAGAAGAAGTTGTTTCAAGTTTTGTTTTACATATTTGACCCATGTGACCTTGTAATTTGGTGAGGTCATTTATTAGAACACATTTGGTAGTCCTTTATCCTAGTTTGCTTCTGGCCAAATATCATCACCCTAGGCCTTTTGGTTATTAAGAGGAAGTGGTTTAAATTAAAATATTGACGTCGGACGACGGACGACGGACGACGGACGCCGCACCACGGGCCAGGGAGCTAAAAAGCAGCGTGTGAACGATGGATTTGTCAACATACCGGACTGAATTAAAGACAAGACCGACGCATTTGAGATGGAAGTTTGTGTTAGATTTAGCGATAACGTCAAATTTCCCACCAGAAACAATCGCCGTGTTGCCACACGAGAATGACTGTCATTATCGAGTGATAAGGATTATTGAGTCAATTACACTTGAATCTGTAAATATTTGCATTTAAATGCATGCTTCACGAACCATATAAATATTCCATCCTTGATTTTTTGTATTGCGCTAACAGAGCTTTCTCAAATCACTGATAAAGAATTGATATTGTTTTAAGAATAGAAATTTTCCTTTGTCGACCTTTTTTATCTTCTGTCTCATTGTGGTGTCCAGTAATTTTGGCGATGTTCAGTAATTTTGTGGGTTTGTGTGGACTTACTTATCCCCTATCTCCCGATCGAGCTCGTCCTTCAGACAGTCCCATTCCGTATCCACCCAATAGCTTGGGGAGAAGACGATTTTTTTTTTTTTTTTTAACTTGTGTCCATTTGAATTTTTTGCAAACAAAATATGTTAAGATAAAACTGCTTGATTTTGTATGCCAAATTAAAGGGTTTCGGCGATCAGCAGGGGAAAAAAATCAAAAATCTATTTAAAAGTCAGTCCCTGCTGAGCAGCGAACCCATTAGGTTTGAGCTAATAAAATATTATGCAGTTCTACTTCACCAAAAGGGCTTGCTAAGGGTCGCTTCGAAAGGTCAATGTTCCTGTTACTTTAAATAGAAAATGGATTCCTCAGTTTATTCATGTTTTATTTATTAACCAGTCCCTGCTGAGCAGCGAACCCATTAGGTTTGAGCTAATCAAATATTATGCAGTTCTACTTTTACTACTGGATTTCACAAGTTTATTCATGTTCAGATGACGTAAATCGACATGCTTAACATAAATGAAAATGATATTTCTTATATAAAACATATGGTATATTATTCATACCACATAAGATATCAATATAGAGATATTGATATTGACATTCCGTACCACACACGTTCCTATCCAACCAATCGGGAACCGTCGGCACTTTCCGTACACGAGAGAGCCTGATGACCGATATACCCCGAATGACAACCTGAGTTTCTATTTTCCCTGTTGTGTTTATGCCGCACTTAACGCTACGCTGCTTTAAGATTGTTGCATTGTAACCACATTACATTATAATTTTTGAATATCGAGCTGCAATCAATATGATTCGTATTCAATAGAAACATTGCACCGTTGCCGGTGTTTGTATATCGCGATCCAAACTGTTGGACTGGTCGGGCCAGAGTTGTTCGTTTATGAAATAAGGTCGGACATAGTAATCTGATGCTGCTTTCACGCAACTTGTAAGGCCTGCATAAACGTGTGCATGTCCGTCAGGAGTTATACCTGTTATTCTATATAACATAAATATATATACACCAGTAAATGTAGTCTATGTATAGGGTATGAATACGCTATGCCTACTCAAGCGTTGGCAACTTCTATACACATATCAAACATCCTGATCACCGAGTTAAAACTTGATATCGAACCAAGGCATTTATATGGAAATTTGTAACCCTACACTAACATAGCAACCATGTTATGGCAACGATACTCATGCATAGATTAATACCAACAAAGCTTTTTTGTATCTCATTTCGTTTCCTTAAAATTTGCCAGCATGATATCTTAATGGACAGGGTAGTAATGCACTAAATATTGATCGATATTGCTAAAGTGTATTAACATGTAGACTATGTGACGTGTTAACCATTTATTTTCAATTACTCATTCAACTTGCAGTAGTAATGAATGAGTATCTGAGAGAAAAGAGTGTTCTAAAATAAGAACCCAGAGGAGTTGTCGTACCTCTAGATAATAGAAGATGTATACAATATTGAAATCGTTCGAAAACAAAACCAAAGTCGAATGGAAGCTATAAAATTGCATGGACATATTTATCACATACATGTGCATAGCTATTAACAATACAACACCAGATCGTAAATATTTTTATACTATACAGGTATATACATATATATATTTCAGTATGTACAATGAACCCGATAATAATGGGGGAAATGCAAGCATACCTTAGCAAAATGTCGCCCAGCATGTCACTGCCATTGTCAGAAGTTTAGCAAAATGCCGCCCAGCATGTCACTGCCATTGTCAGAAGCTCAGCAAAATGTCGCCCAGCATGTCACTGCCATTGTCAGAAGCTTAGCAAAATGTCGCCCAGGATGTCACTGCCATAGTCAGAATCGAAAGTGAAACTTAAATTAGTTCCGTTTGTGGAATTCCAGTGACGTAGTTATTATGACAGTTACAAACTGTCACCAGGATAATTTTGAAATAGGAAAAGGTCATCAAAAGTCTTTATCAATGTCCTAATTCCTCAGAAATATTTTGAATACAATTGTAATTTAAATGGCTAACGAGCGTTAAGTCTCAGCTTTCCCTGTACGGAAGGACAGCACACTTGAAATAAACCAACGACGCAGGGGAGGTAAACGGTACTGAATTATATTACTTTTGCATGTCCATATGGGTTCCACCCGAGGGTTTTTCAAATTTGGGAAACCCCGAAGTTTTCTGAGGGTTTAACCCTATTGTAAAAATCTCAAATGGGTTACACTATATGTTATACTCATAAAGTATTTCTCCCTCTTTCAAATCGCCAGGATTGCCTCAGAATCTATCTGAAGCAATTTTGATTGGCTATATTTAAAAAAAAATCATCTTTTTCTCTCGCGTTTTGGACAAGAACAAACCTAAATTTCATCCCGTCACTAGGATTTATTTGCTAAACAACAAGAAGTCTGATACCTTAATACAAATACAAATAGTACGACATGTTACAACTAAATTATGTTTTCTTGTAGGCGACTAATTAAACCACTATGTCGTCTAGTATAGGCCACGGGCGGTCATCTTTATTTGATTTACTTTAATTTCTCAGATATGGTGATCCAAGCCAAGTGATCAGAGTCGAGGAAGATAATGTAAAAAAATAATTAATTTAACGTTTTCAACGTGACATTGTTTGCCGTCATAGTGGAGGATGCAATTGTATTTGCAATGCTCCAAATTGGAAATAAAAGATATTGCTAGGAAACTGGTAATTCCTAATTAATCAAAATGATTTCAGACTTTAGACACTCAAGGTAGTAAAACATTCTTGAGTAATGATGCAAGATGAAGAAAATTTTCATTGCTTTTTCTGTTTGACTCTTAATTAAATCTTTTAACATTTCATACAATAGTTCGAAAAACCGTGTTACTTTGTAACAAACAAAATATTATATCAATATTATTTTGTACTGACAAACGGGTCTCCCCTTACCTAGCGCGTAAAAACAAAGATGGCGTCAATATGGTCATGTTGCAGAGTTTTTATAGCTTCCATTAACGGACGCTGCTCGTTAGGAATTTAACAGAATCTATCGCCGTTGGAACATCATCAATCTAACAGTTCCTAAAGAGGTATTCATAAGACCGGTGACTGTTTTATAATTCCTTTGTTTATTGTTTGTAGGGTTACTGAATACAATGTTATTACATTGTTACTTACATGTATTATATACATGTAATGATTCATTATTGTGTCGTTAAATGTTTCATCTAACGAGAGTACTAGAACAGTACATGTATCTACGACCTTCTAGACCCTAGATCAAGCAGGTACATGTAATACATTTAGTCAAATTCTCAAAAAGTTTTTATGTATATTATTTGAAAATGACCCTCAGTTTAGTCCTCAGTCTTGAAAATTTGCCCCCATTTAAATCATTATAAAATACTACTTTTTAATGTATCCATCAGACTTAAGACGCTTTTTGCAACTGTGCTTTCTATCAATTGTATCACCGAGTGTAGAATTCGACGTCAGCCTCAGTTCCGAAACTAGATTCTAAATCTGACAGTAGAATGTAATTTTTATTGCATACCAGATATCTCCTTTGTCAGCATTGCTTAGATATTCTATTCGACCCACTGGCTATCAGCGCGAACTGCAATGGACTGTATTTTTGTCAAGGGAAGCAACTTATGATTTGCTTACATCTTACAGAGAAAAGAGGTGAAAACGGGATGAGTTGTTGACACTGAATTTTGTTTTTATCATGGTATTTTTTTGTCTTGCGTAAGTAGAGCACGATTTCCTTTTTTCACAAATTCATACAACCTACATTTGTTTCCATGCAAATCAACTAACGTTAAACAGTTGATTTCATCTGTTTTTAGAAAGTATGCAAGAAAAGACCCCAGCCAGTGGCGTAGCATACATGTATGCTTGTATGCTTAAGCATACACTATATAAAATAAAGATTGTTTTTCAATCACATATTTTCATTGATTTCTATTTTTTATGATTAATATTGACCGTCGGTATCAATAATAAATATGGAAAGAAATATATAAAAAAAAAAAAATGAAAATCTTAGTCCGACGGAACATATTATACCGTGTTGTCCTCAGATAATCGTTTAAGGTTCAACAAGTCTCCTAAAAGATGTTATAGTCAACCTAAATTTCAACTCCTGGTAAGTCATATTCAGTGACCCTTATTACAAATCGGAATATGTATTTATATGTAATTTTAGATATATTGGACTTAAACACAAGCTTCTTAAAATGTACATAACCAGGTTAACGGAGGCAATAATAAAGTATTAAAGCTGATGTCTTCATAAAAATGGCTCACTTGACTTATAACATGTCAATCGCTGAAATGACATATTATTCAAAGTTCATTTATATACCTAGGTCATGCAGACCTTATTTTCTTTAAACAAGGTATGGAGAGGCTTACCGGCCTCAAAAGTACCTGATTATTGCTTGGGAAATGTACATAGTGAATCGTCCGTATAACATATTTTATTGGTATATATTTTGAAAAAAACACAGACTTATGACCATTAAAAAACCCACTTAAAGACATTTAATGTTTTTATTATAAAGCTAGACATGTTATAACCATTATAGCACTTTTCAGCTTCAATGTTTATAACACGTCTAGCGCATTTATAACATCACAAAATGTAATTAAATGGCACATCATCTTAAGTTCATGTATCGATTAAAGATACTTAGGCAATGTTTTCTTATTTATAATCTGTTAAAAAATATTACTAGCGGATTTTACAATGATTTTAGTGGTTTTGCATGGCAACATCTATCTTTATTTGAGGTAGGAATCAGCTTTGATGCATTATTTTCGACTACGCTAACATGACTGTATTTTTTAATAGCCAACAACAAGTTCAATATATTCAAATGACATATATAAGTTCCGATTTTTAATTGAGGTCTTTGAATATTAATTATCAGGGGGTTGTAAATTTTGGTGACTGCATCATCTATCAAGGGGCTTGTTGAACTTTAAGAGCCTTTCAGTCTTATCATTAGCAAGTGAAACTTTTACTTGTTGATAATCAGATAAACAGGTGTTCCCAGAACACGGATGCTTGTTTCTAGGGCCTGGTAGATTGTTTTGAAGCTATGTAAGCATGCACTCCGAAAAATGATTTGCTACGCAACTTCCAGCACATATGTGATATATGGGTTAGGCTTTTCAAAGCTCGGTTCTATGTTTGTTTATATATCTCAAATCAAAGATGGATTCTACAAGTGTCACCTGCGTACACTATGTAGCGCACGTGTACCTTGTATACGAAGAAGTGGGAGAAAGCATATTAACATACCTGTAATACTAGTCCGTAAGTACCTGACAGAAACCTGACAGGACAGCGAGCTACAGATCACTGATAGGTGACTGAAAACAACATCCCTACAATGTTTGTGTAACATATGGCGCGGTCTACATGGAATTTACAGGGATTACACAGTAATACGATTTATATACAATTGTAACGTAAGTGAATGTCCCATTGAAAACGAAGTCAACAGTGACGTGTTCGCATGATTTTCATTAAGGATGGGTTTTAGACTAAATTGGCTGCTTTAGTACATGTATAGGTTTGGGTCTGATTACTTTACACTTTAATAATTATTATCATGAAATTAACCAGCATTCCTTTAAACTTTGAAATTCTGATATTAAGGTGTTTTACGCACTTCCGTTTTGTTTCATCAATAGTTTAGACCAACTCTAATTTCTACATTTCATTGAAGGACGAAACAGCTATTTGGCATTTTGTATTTTTTTCCAAATTTCATAGATACAATCACATATGTGTGTGTCACGTTCACCTTTCAAGATACAAGATGGTAGTGGATTTCTTAGTACCCGAGATTTTGTAGTAGCCATGATGCCTACAATTATCCCTTTCGAGTAGTAGAGCGATTTTTAATATATGCAATATGCTCATTATGAACTTGGGTTTACAAGCCAACCCTTCCGTCACAATAGATATTAGACAAGCTTGGATTTCCATTTTTGATCCCTGGTATTTTCGATGAGTGATAGAAGGAAGAAACAGGTGAATGATTTTAATTTTGGCATACTCTTACCACATTTGTATAGATGCAATCACATGCTCATCTTTCACCTTCCGAAATGCATTTCTATGGAAATATGCAAAAGTTTATTTTGGCATTTTGAGTGTTACAATGACCTGAGAGATAAAAAACACTTTTATTTTTATATTTTACAATTATCACGTGTTGGCCCGGATGTTAGCGCGCGGGTCCTCGTGTTGGCAAACCGAAGTACACTGAGAAAAGCGACGTGGTCACAGGTGACCTTTTTTTCACGTCCGATCGAGGAATCAAACCTCAACCGCCTTATTGAAAAGCGAGTTCGTTATCGACTGCGCCATCCGACCACCCTGTTTAGGTAAGCCCATCTTTAACACTGATACATGTATGAGTATCTGCCATTGACCTACCACGTACCCACAAAGTGTCTCTCTATTTTTGCCTAATATAGCCGCCTCCTACTTGATCATACCTTCTTATGTTAATTGAAGCGTGGACCATGGTTATGTGAGTTCTCAATATAGACCCAGCCTTACACTGTTTTCATAGTAAAATCTGCGTTTATAGTGTATTATTTGCCATTAGAGCAAAGTATATCGGTATTGATATTAGGTACAACGAAGGCGTACCTTCCAACACGTGTGATTACAAGAGGATCAGGAATAAGACGACAGGTGTTTCTTTCAACCTGCACCAATCCTTTGACTTGTGTTTTCATAATTAAACGCATTGTGCACTTATTTCTCTCTGTATTAATGATCTGAATTCACCTACTTCAATCAGTTTCGATCAAGAAAACGACAATAGTTATTTTTATTCCGTCAAGTTGAGTATACCTAGTATCTCAATTTTTTGTTTGAAGAAGGTGGAACATAAAGTTTACTAACATATGAAACAGATGTTTATACACGTAAAGAAAGGTTTATATCAAAACAAGTGTTAAGGAGTTGCCGTGGAATATATATGTTGTGAAACATGAAAAGAAAACCTTTAAATTGCGTCTGTAGTTTCAACAGTGATGTTGTCTTCATTTCTCTTCGTGGCATTTTCTCTCTTTCTTGGAGCACAAAAGACACTAGCATGTACGTAATTTACAAATGTTGAAATTGAAAGATGCAAATATATATATATACATATATATATGATATTATTGTTGAAGTAAGCCGATAATCATTACTTCAAAAGAAAATGTTTTGGACGGTCATGATCTCCTACTGCTGTATAAACCTATTTCGCCGTACTTCGTTCTCTATGTTTAGGGGAGGGTTGCATGGGTCGTTGTCCAGATCACTCCTGGTGTGACGTAGCTGACAACAGGTGTAAATGCAGTCCTGGATACTGTGGCGACCCGTACTGCTCCACTGGTTGCGTCCAAAGTAAGGCAAATGAGACAGATTGTTTTTTTTAAGTGTTTCTGTTATATGAATTTTATTTATAATTTTTCTTTTTAAATGCTAATTATGACTTTCAATAACAGTATAGTTGGTAGCTTAAAAAATAATATTTGCATACATGAAACCTTTAAACTGTATTTGTCTGAGCTGCTTAATTAAAAACGTCTGTATTAAAACGTTTGAAGCAATACAACAAATGATGCTGCTATCTGATATTGTTTTACCAAGTTTAACAATTATTTACAAATATGAAACCTTCTAAACTATTTTTCTGAGCTGCTAAATTAGTTTTGTTATTGTTGACGATCTCGTTGATGGAATATTTTAAAACGTGTGAAGCAATAAAACATAGGATGCTGTTGTCGTATTTTACTAGACTAGTTCAAATGTTATGATGATACATATAATAGTCATTAGGATGGTACGTCACAAAAGCCAATGAATAAGAAGATAATAATATGTTAACAATGAATAAGGTTCCAGCGTCACACAAGTTAAACACTTACAAACAAGTACATCGGGGTTCGAACACTTTCTATTTTGTGCTTATTTCCGACTGTGCACTGCAACATGATACAATATGGCAGGTTGTTTACACCTGTTCTCTAATTTTATTTTGTAATTGCAATGTATTTCTCCGTATGGGTCATTATTAAGCTATCTACTCTTTGCGACTTCTTCATCTGACGAATAGAGCAAAAGAGGGAAACTCAAAAATTTGATAAACGATACTTAACGAAAAAGAATTTTAATAAGTGTAAGGAACTTTGCAACTTAGTCTTGTAGGTTTTCATCTGTTCAATATCGTTTGTTAATACGAATACAGATTCACGGTTACACCATATTTGTTTCATTGGATCTATCAGTATTCACTATTATTGTTTGAAGTTGTTGCTTGGGGTATATTTGTCATGAATGCATTACATGGTGATTTGGTGTCTTGTTTGTATTGATTTCAGACCCCACACTGCCCCAATGTTGTGAGAATGCGTTTCGGAATGGGTCGATGTGTGTTTGTAAAACTGGCTATGTAGGCAATGGTTTTTATTCTTGCAAGCCAGGTACGTGTTCCATGTCAGATCATCCTCGAAATTATATGTGGTTCGGCCACTTACGTTTTATAAGCCCCTGGAATATGTCATGATCATATATCGAAGGCTCTGTACGCACCACTTGTGAATAAGACAAGCAGACAAATATGGTCATTTGAGGTAATTAAAAGAATAGTGCGGCAGTGTATCGGTAAAACTAACCGGCTTTGAAGTGCGATGTCGCTCCTTTGTAATCGTCAAATGACAACATAGAAAATGGTCAGTTTATTTTCATCTAGAAGCAAAAAACTAGGTAACCGCGTGCCTTGTCAGGACATATTCCAGGCGTGCAGAGAATGCGAGTGGGCATAACCACTGGAATTTCGGGGATGATGCTAGACAAAATCTATGAAATATGCGACATTCGTATTTTTTTTCAACATTGTAAAGTAACTTTGAAAACATAGGGAATCTCAAAGAAAGCTTATGCTCAGAATTGTTATATCATTTAGAACCAATTCTCATATCTGGTCAGAAGAATATTGAAAGATTCGTCTTGTGTAGGATGCTGGACAAAGGACAGAATCGTGTTCACTAAGCAGTGTTTCTCGTCCGTTCAAAATATTTTGGACACTTTCAAATTCCAAAATCAAATACGTTATGTTTATAACTAAATATATGATTAAAATCTCGGAAACGTGGATAGTCACTGGAATTGGAAAATAAATCAAAATACGGAAACACATCATGTTGATTATTTTCCCCAGTTAAATCTCATTGAAAAACGGACATGCACTACTATCATAACGGTCTTAACTCTAACACCCGTCAGGAATAATACTCATCTTACGTTACTGGTCAAAATCCAATATTTTTATTATCAACTTTTCGTTAATTTCCTGTTTGCATTCTCATGTGATCCCTTTGTATCGCTTATGTTGTTGTTTCCCCCTCTTCATATTTGTACGGTAAATCATGGGTTTCCCTCGCCTTTTTCGTGATGTCTGTCACCATTCAAAATGAGAATGTCCCTTTCTCATTGGAAATTAAAGAAGCCAATTTGCAACAAACAAAAATTCATTTAAAAAGATACCAGAATTCTTCCATTGGTGACTAATTTAAAGGGAGACAGTCCTTATTCAAATTGCATGTATCCTGTTTTAGGTAACATTCTAAAACATCGATCTAGAACTTTGGTTATGTAAAAATGTGCACTTATTTTATAGGATCAATTAGATTTACGTTTTTTTATTTCAGCATTTAAAAATAGTATTTAATGAAGCTTGTTTCTCTACTACCATGCCAAAACTTCGTTCATAATAATTTAGTTCAATGCTTTATATGGAATGTTAATATCGTTGCAACGAATGTTTCTTGGCATTCTTAATTGCAAATAATAGAAAAAATCCTAAATCATCTGTTCTTTTGACAGTTGCGTAGATATAAACTGTTGTTCGGTCGCTTCCGCTTCCTCCTATAATTCATGAACTGGTTATCAGATTTCCTTTGAAATTAAGAAATTGTATTTTTATCATGAATTTGTAATTGATAAAAGATGATATTCACCTAACATTGTTTCCATGACCGGAATAAGTGAATCATTCAAAGTATACATTTGCAAATTCACAATAATGGGACTCCTTTTTATGCATACTCTCTAAAAGAAAAGACGCGTTTTTTTAATTATCACACGTCATTTGAAAAAAGTTCTAAAAGATCATGGCGTTGGTCAAATATTGAATATGCTAGATTTATTTATAAATTTGGATGTGCTTTCTTCCTATCGTCAAATGCCTGTTCAAATAGTTCATATCGGCTATGAAACAAAATCAACAAAGTTACTCGCAGTAAACAAATGTCACAAATATTTGATATGTATTGATATAACCTTTTATTTGCCTTAGAGCTAAACCAATTACACTCGTATACTAATATCACTTCCAGCAGATGTTCAATATTGTACAAGTTTAATAAATACACGATTTCTATGATGTATTCCAGTTCCTTGCTTTGGGAAATGTAAGTCGAACGCCTACTGTAAGATTTTGGACGACAAGTGTTACTGTAAATCTGGCTTCATAGGAAATCCGTACGAAGGATGCACAGGTAAAACTATTCACAATGGTTTTTTTTAAAGTCGTAATAACTGCTTAAACTTGATAAGGAACGTTGAATATAGGAATTCCCCTTTCTTGTTAGTATTTAGAGTTTTGCATTTATTACTGAAGATATGAAAGGTCATTTTCTTCATCTTATCAGTTTTTCCTGTAATACTTTTCAGTATTTCTTATCGAAATATAGTACAATGTCATATGTATTCCCTCAATAACGATTTAAACGAGAAGCAATTAAAAAATAGGAAACAAATATATTTTCATTGCGTTTAATTGAGAATAAAGCATGATATTTTAATGGTTTTATAAAATCAATAAAACTGTATACGTTTTTGAACAGTACCTTGTGATGGTAAATGTAGTACGAACGCCTACTGTCGGACTTCGGACAAAAAGTGTTACTGTAAATCTGGCTTCGTAGGAAATCCTTATGTAGGCTGTAAAGGTTCGTAATTTTACTTAATGTGAAAAGTAGAAGATCTTTACATTAAGATATCTTATCATTATGACCAAAAGTGTACGTGGCTACCTTTCATATGTGTTGTACTTTATTCCAGTACCGTGTGATGGTAAATGTAGTACGAACGCCTACTGTCGGGCCTCGGACAACAAGTGTTACTGTAAATCTGGCTTCGTAGGAAATCCTTATGTAGGCTGTAAAGGTACGTAATTTTACTTAATGTGAAAAGTAGAAGATCCTTACATTAATATTTATTTACATTATGACCATAAGCGTACGTGACATTCTTTATTAATGTACTTTACTCTATTCCAGTACCGTGTGATGGTAAATGTAGGACGAACGCCTACTGTCGGGCCTCGGACAACAAGTGTTACTGTAAATCTGGCTTCGTAGGAAATCCTTATGTAGGCTGCAAAGGTACGTATGAAAAGTAGAAGATCTTTACATTAATATTTATTTACACTATGAACATAAGTGTACACCCTTCATATATGGGATGACCACTTGGCCTTTGGTTTTGTTCTGATCCTTTATTGGCCTGTTTGGTCTTTCACTTACTTTGACACGGTTTCTGTGCCCGTTTTAGGGTTCATTCCATATATGCACATGTTCTCATTGCCCTGGCAATGCGATTGTACACTTGTCTTTTGTCCTGTTTTTATGTGACTATTGTATCACATATGTTGAGCAATGTGCATACGACGCCTTACTTCTGGTGAAAAGGACGGTGAAATTTGAAGTTCAGCAATTGATCCGTATTGGTCTTTTTTTCTATTGACCAATACCTTCACGGTTCCGTCTTCTTTCATTATCTGTAGAGTGTCTAGGAAAGGCATTGTGCCGTTGGTTTCTTCCTCACATGTGAATCTGATGTAGTTAGTGGCATATATGGTGTTGGTATGTGTGGTCAAATCCTCCTGTGACCCCTTCTTGATTATCTCAAGTGTGTCGTCAACATAACAGTGTCAAAGCGTTGTAGCAAGATGTTTTTTTCGGAAACTAAAATATGTTGTCAGCACATATTCCAGCAAATCCCTGATGTTCTGAATCTGGGGGTGTTGTGGACAACTCGTATTTATTTTTAACCTTTGTGTGCAAAAGCTTCACTGGTCATTTGCATTTGTCTGATGAAGGTGACAGTGTACATTTCGTACTAGTCATCAAAACGTCACATAGAAAATTGTATTGGTTGTGTAAAAAGAACTTTTCATAATCCATAGAAATAATGTATTATTGTTATTTTACATATGTTTGTCGCAATAATATCTTTCAAAAGAGCAAATGTTCTTTTTTTCATGAATGCGACTTTAAATAAATTTCTTGTATAATGTATCTTGCAGTGAAAGATATTTCCATTATATTTGTCTGGAATAACCAAAGTTAATGTATTTTGTTCAAGTTTATTACTTTGGTAATTGAAAATTCCTGTGTCGGATATACATTTAAGTTAATTTACAAAAAACAAAATAAACCTATTCATTCTGACCTTCCCTTTTCGTGTTTTGCTCTATTTATATATTTTTCTTTACTCCAGTACCGTGTGATAGTAAGTGTAAGACAAACGCTTAGTGTAGGGCCTCGGACAACAAGTGTTACTGTAAATCTGGCTTCGTAGGAAATCCTTATGTAGGCTGTAAAGGTACGTAATTTTACTAGATGTGAAAAGTAGAAGATATTTACATTAAGATATCTTAACAATATGACCATAAGTGTACGTGACTAACTTTCATATGTATTGTATTTTCCAGTGCCGTGTGATGGTAAATGTAGGACGAACGCCTACTGTCGGGCCTCGGACAATAAGTGTTACTGTAAATCTGGCTTCGTAGGAAATCCTTATGTAGGTTGTAAAGGTTGGTATATTTTATTAAAAGAACTATCTAATGACATTTGATATAATATATTTTTACTGCAACTTAATGCATTGCTACAGATAAATGAATCGTTTCAAAACCCTATGGGGAGATATTTGTCCTTTAAGTATCCGTGTCCCACTGTAGTAATAATGCTATAGAATTCCACACTTAGTTCCAAGATGTTTCGTATATACAGTAACCTCCCTATCATATCGTTATGGATACAGTAGCTAGGCCACATCCGTTAACAAGGTAGCTCAATTTGTTAGAGCGACGGTAAAACAATTTGATGGCTAGGCTTCGAATTCTGCTCTATAGTACGCTATGCAGAATGTGTACGAACAGTGTTGTTTGTTTATTTTATTTCATATCAGTTTAAGTTTTTCCTAAAAGTCCCGTAAGCTTAATTAGTTTTTTTCTCAAAACTGATTAAGCTATAAAAAGACCAGAAAATCAGTTTCATATGCATAGTTACCGTTTTGCACTAGTACATGAATCCCTCATTACCTATTTGTTTAAACAAGAGATTGTCAAATCGCATATCAAGACTGATTAATGTGTGATGAATATGTAGTGTCTTACTGCTATATCTCAATATGCTATTCACTATAAATACTATTCTATTAATAATATAATTCATTTCTGTAGAGAACACGATGCTATTACCCCTATCCAATATGATGAAAAAGTTCCTTATATTTCAATGATAAATTATTGGCAATTAATCTGTTACGATTTGGTAAATTAATTAACACAACTCAATTCTTCAGCAGCCCTTCAATAAGAGATGTTATACTGAACTTAATATCAGTGCTATATGCCGAAAAGCATACAAGGCCAACTAGTCTCTACGTATTTATTGAATTTTCTCATCGCTGTGCATGCATCCCCAGCATACACATGCATTATACTGTTGTACACATGCATTATACTGTTGTACACATGCATTATACTGTTGTGCACATGCACCAGGAAGAGTGATGCCGTGATGGACATCTGTTCGAATTTCAGTATAGAATCGTTAAGTTTTCGTTGATACCCTAGAAGATGTCCTGTTGTGGTTAAGGTGTGAAAAGGTAGCACAAGACCTACAACAATATGCCCCGGCCTATTGAAAATGAAAATTTGACGATTCTATACTGAAATTCGAAGAGATTGTCCGGTGGGCATCTCTAGCCTGGGGTATCGTTGATGCCGTTCTGGATGTTGATACATGATAAGCTGTCCTGTTGTGGTATAGGTGTTATGTTTGAATTATTCGAATATCAAACTAGGCCAGCCCAACGTTGGTCAAGTCCCATATTAGGCTAGCCCAATATTTAATAAGAACTGTAACCAATTTCACGCTGGATATTTAATGCACGACTTAATTTTCTTGTCCGTTTCATTAAAGTATTTTTTATTGGATATGTACAAAAGGTACCTGAACAAAAGCAGAAAATAACGTTATTAAGTTGTAATACCTGTTAAACACGTTAGTATTGGGCTTTATATTTCAACTGGTTATTTTTTCAGTACCGTGTGATGGTAAATGTAGGACAAACGCCTACTGTAGGGCCTCAGACAATAAGTGTTACTGTAAATCTGGCTTCGTAGGAAATCCTTATCTAGGTTGTAAAGGTATGTACATTGATGTCAAAACTAACAGATCTTAACATTATATATTTATCTTGAATATCAAAAGTTAATGTGTAATGTTGTATTTCCTAACTAGGGCAAATGTAAACCCTCTATCAAAACTTGAAACAAATTGATTTTTTATTGATATAACTTATCAGAAGTATTTCAAGCGTACGCGATATTCTTAATTAATGTACCTTACTCTATTCCAGTACCGTGTGATGGTAAATGTAAGACGAACGCATACTGTAGGGCCTCGGACAACAAGTGTTACTGTAAATCTGGCTTCGTAGGGAATCCTTATGTAGGTTGTAAAGGTACATAATTTTACCAAATGGGAAAAGTAGAAGATCTTTACATGAATTTATCGTATCATTATGATCATAAGTGTAGGTGACTAACTTTCATAATGTATTGTACTTTCCAGTACCGTGCTATGGTAAATGTAGGACGAACGCCTACTGTCGGACCTCGGACAACAAGTGTTACTGTAAATCTGGCTTCGTAGGGAATCCTTATGTAGGTTGTAAAGGTACATAATTTTACCAAATGGGAAAAGTAGAAGATCTTTACATGAATTTATCGTATCATTATGATCATAAGTGTAGGTGACTAACTTTCATAATGTATTGTACTTTCCAGTACCGTGCTATGGTAAATGTAGGACGAACGCCTACTGTCGGACCTCGGACAACAAGTGTTACTGTAAATCTGGCTTCGTAGGAAATCCTTATGTAGGTTGTAAAGGTTGGTAAAATACACAGGAAAATCGTCCTTTTCTCGGTATGGAAATAAATTTATATCTTTTTATATAATAACAGATTGATCGATATATCATATATCAAATGTAGAAATCATTCGTCATTCCTGTTTGAGGTGAAATCATACCGACATGAATATGTTTTAAAAACGGTCAATATTGTACAATTGCTTGAAATTTCAGATTTTTTTCAGGAAAAGATGCTTTACATTTCTAATTTTATTAATGATCTTAACGATTATTTTCCATTTCCTTGTGGTATACATTGCAGGAAGAATGAGTTTCACATTTTCATTTTAAAGGCAAAGATCAGAGTCAATAAGACACGGATCTTTATTATGCTATCTGATTACTATTAGTTTCGTACAAATGTGATGTTTCAGTACCGTGTGATGGTAAATGTAAAACAAACGCTTACTGTAGGACCTCAGACAACAAGTGTTACTGTAAATCTGGCTTCGTAGGAAATCCTTATGTAGGTTGTAAAGGTACGCACATTGATGTCAAACTAACAGATTTACATTACATATTTATCTTGCATAATAAAAGTTAATGTGTAATGTTCTATTTCCTTACAGTAGCAAATGTTTTTAGACATGTGTAATATATTAACAAATTACGTTAAACAGATTTGCTGTTCACGGGAAGGCATTCATTCCAACTAAATAAGTGTTAACGTGGAATTGACGATTTTGTATTTTCAACTAGATATTAGTTTTACTTACAATACTTAAGAGAAGAGAAGTTTGTCTTAGTAGTTTGTCATTGTGGGAATATACGTGATATATAATGACAGTCACGATATTTGTCGACGTAAGCACTATCCCTTCAAAAACAATCAACACCCGGAGACCACGGTCTCACTCCTGACTACAATTGGGATTTCGGATAGTTTTATTTCTGTTTGAATTTGTTTTAAGTCCCTATTTTTGCATTTCGTGGCATGATGTTTTGAATGTTTTTTGTTACATTTGTACAATTGTGTGTTCGTAGCTTGATTTTGATACGTAATCGTTTAAATTTTGCAGAGAAATTGGAAATTGAACGGTTGGATAGTGTAGATCTACTTTTGTGCAAAATACCATTGTATAAATAATGAAAAAATGTATCAAAAGAAACAATATATAGATATTTGTACAAAACGGTAAACAAACGCATTGTATTACACGAAAAACCTACATCTACATGTTATAGCAAATTTAGTAATTATACTTTAGTCTGTATACAGAAAAAAAATAAACAAGTATCGTTCTGCTGAAATATGCATACCTAAGGATATCGAGGTAATAGCAATTTTTACATATATTTGATACACTGATCACACTTTAGATACATAATGGGAACAAAGTGCTGAATTTTAAAACATACCATAATATTATATATATATACATATCTTGTATAACCTAATTTAATTATTATGTTCCAGTTCCTTGCTTGGGTAAATGTAGAGCAAATACCTACTGTAGAACCTCGGACAACAAGTGTTACTGTAAATCTGGCTTCGTTGGGAACCCGTATGTAGGTTGTAAAGGTACGTAAACTTTTCATTATCAATAAAGATAGTAAAGTTCTTGTGTGATTTTGTTAATATCATATTGATATATTGTATTCATTGTCCACAAGTCCATCTTAACAATCGCAGACTCCAATAATAATATAAGATAAAGAAAAAAAGACAAAAGACACGACAAAAACACAACAAACAAGCAAACAAAACAAAAATAACCCCCACAAAAAACAACAATAACAAATGAATCTCGTTGATACAATCTTTCAGTACCGTGTGATGGTAGATGTAGGACGAACTCTTACTGTAGAACCTCAGATAAGTGTTACTGTAAATCTGGCTTCGTAGGAAATCCTTATGTAGGAGGTAAAGGTAAATTAACTGTTAAAAAGAATAAATAAAGCATTCTAAATAAATCATGCTAAATAAATCAAACGTTATTTAATTATGACCGCTAGAAATACCAGTTTAAGATGCGCATAATTTAGTTATTTAACAAAAAGAAGAAGACCAAATAAAGGGTGGAATGTGTAAACAGGTTACCTGTACCCTGTCTTCCTGCATTATTGGAGTGCAATTGTACCAAAAGTCTCTGTGAATTTTGACAGGTAAGCACTGATTCGGTCCACTTTGGCTTGGTGAGTTGTTTTAGCGGCTTAGAGGTGCGACACCGGTCATTTACACGCTTTGCTTGTCAAATGCAATAGTCGGTTTTGAAAGTTCGCTGAATACATTTTCAATTCCTGTTTGTGTTCAAAGCAAAGCCTTTATACCAAACTGATGAATATCATTCCGAAGTCTCAACAAAGTAAGCATTTACTGCTACATATGGCAATTACGTCCGTTTAGTATTCACCAATGGTTCGAAGGGTTAATAAAGGAATTGCACGTAAATGAAATACCATCAAAATGGAAAAGAATGCCTTTAAAATCCGGTTAACGTTAGAAATTTGCAACTTTTTAAGATGAAAGATAAGATATCTTTTTATAAAGCATTTCACGTAAACTGTGTCAGTATACTATCAAGCAACAAGATACAATTTACATCGGGGCCAATAGTCCACCAGAAAACTATCCAAGACAATCCTTTAAGATAAACTGAAACATTACTCCTGTTATTGAATGAGAAACATAGTGTATGTTGACTGAGTATAAATGTTAAAATTATAAATTTAATAACATCATAGGAATTTACCCCGAAATCATAGATTCATGAAAACGCATTGCTTTCCTTCGTTAGATGTTCTTTTTATGTTCCAGTTCCTTGCTTGGGTAAATGTAGGACGAACGCCTACTGTAGGACCTCAGACAACAAGTGTTACTGTAAATCTGGCTACAGTGGGAACCCGTATGTAGGTTGTAAAGGTAATCATTGTTTGAGTTATTTGTTTGTTTTACATGATCTGTAACTGTTTGACAAAGAACAAATTACGCAACGATACATTTGAAACATCGAGCAAGAAACTGTAATTTCAGGAAGGAGCATATTGGTCGAGTGGTTAACCTTCCGGCCTTATTTGCAGGAGGTCGGGGTCTGATTCCCGAAGACAACATCAAAATAATTATATTTATATTGTAACTGTCGCAGAGTTCACAATACCAATATTTTATTAAACAATTAAATTCAATATGTTATTGACAAAAATGTAAAAAAAAACAAAAAAACCATTTCAATTCATAGAAAAAAACCGAGATGATACATTCTAAAGTTCAAGCAAGGAACTTGTGAATCATAACTAAATATTATAAAAACTACTTAAATCTCTATTTTTATTCATCCTGGATATACAATATGATAATTTTTACATAGAATAAATGTATAATTTATTCGAGTTCCGTGCTGGGGAAAATGTCGGGCCAACTCCTACTGTAGGACCTCAGACAACAAATGTTACTGTTAATCTGGCTACTGTGGGAACCCTTATGTAGGTTGTACACGTCATGGTGATTAGCACTTGTTTTGTTGTTGTTGTTGTAGTTGTTGTTTGTTTTGGAAAAGTACTTTATTTTTTACACACTTCCAATCCAGTATTTTTTTAATAAGTTGGATAAATCGAAGGTTAAGTGGACAAAACAGACATCCAAAATACTGATTTTTATTAAACGTTACTGTCACAGAAAAAACGATATCAGTTTATATCAATTGACACAATTTAATACCTTATTGCCAAATATATATATATAATAAAAAGGGATTAAATGTCCATGTGAAGGAAGTAAATATAGAAAAAATAAGATTAACGACCGACTAAAAAACTTGCTCCTTTCATCCTTCACGGGGCTCTTCAGGTTTATTCGAAAGAATAACGTCGTGACGTCACAATTACGTGTCATCACACTACAATAGTAACGTGACGTCACGAAGTACACAAGATTGGTGGACAATTTAGCGTAAAATTTTACTGTGGCCTGTTGAGACTTGGTTTTAATATTTTGATTAGTTGGTCTTCTTTCGTTTCTCTTAAAATAGTGTCTGATGAAAATAGTTGATTCAAAGGTAATTCATTAAATTTATCTCCAGCACATTCATGAATATGTTTGTTAACATGAAGATTTCGTAAAGAATCAGTTCTAGTTTGTTGTCTATGTACAGTCATACGTGTTCTTTAAAGTAAGTTCGGACAAACATTTAGAAGACGTCATTGATAGTTTTAAAAAGATTCCTTTACATAATGATAATCATCAACACGCAAAAAGTAATCTGTCTTACAGACAGAAATGTGCTTTGGATTCTTTAAGAAATGATACCTCTATTATTATCAAAGAGGCTGATAAAGGCAATGCAGTAGTGGTCATGAATAGATATTTCTATTATGAATGCATACATAACATGCTTAGTAATGTTGAATTTTATACTTCGGCAAGTGACGATTTCGATGCGGAAACCCGTAGATTAATCAACGAGCTAATACGGATACATGAAGNAGACCTCATTCTTAAAACTTTATGCACAAGTGTAAACAGTTATATCAAAGACGATTTTGATTTTCTGAGCCGTTTATCTAAACAGGTCCCACATAATGCTAAACTTGTTTCTTTTGATGTTGTTAGTTTATACATTAATATACCGCATGATCTTGGTATTGAAGCTGTTAAATATTGGTTGATCAAAAAACGAGAAAAAGTGAATTCTCGTAAAGTAATGAATTTATACTGCAAGCTCTAGACTTTGTCCTCAATCGTATTTTTTTTTACTTTGAGCAAGAATACTTTCAACAGATTAAGGGTACAGCAATGGGAACTAAGGTTGCCCCTACATATGCAACCTTAGTTTTAGGATACTTAGAGGAAACACTTTAATCTAATATTGAAACAAAGTTTGGGGAAAATTTTACTGAATTTATCAGAAATATTTTTTTAAGGTTCCTTGACGATCGTTCTGTTATATGGCCTTCTGATAAGGATTTGAATGAATTTCAAAACCTATTGAATTCTTTACATCCTTCTATTTGTTATACGATGGAGTGTAGCGAAACGTCTTTACACTTCTTAGATGTTTTAGTTCAACTAGATTCAAATAAGATTACAACGGATTTATATTGTAAGGCTACAGATGCACATAATTATCTAAATTTTTACTCTAACCACAGTAAACACACTAAAGTTAATATTCCTTTTAATCTTGCCTCACGGATTGTCACTATCGTCAGTGACCAACAAGCTCAAATTACTAGACTCAGTCAACTTAGTCGGTCGTTAATCTTATTTTTTCTATATATATATATTTATATATATCACCATATCAATTTTTAGAAAATATAAGGAATAATAAGTTTCGCAAGTTTCTAAATCATTTCATTCATACTTGCAAAAAAATATCAATATTGGTTTAATAAATGTACATTTCTGTTCCAGTTCCTTGCTGGGGTAAATGTAGGGCCAATTCTTACTGTAGGACCTCAGACAACAAGTGTTACTGTAAATCTGGCTACAGGGGTAACCCATACTCTGGCTGCACTCGTAGAGGTAAATTTATTTTTATTTTAAAGAAAGACGTAATCTGTTCATACAGGTGTTTAACTATTTGAATTGATAAACAATTGTGTAGGAAGTATGCATTAAAAATACTAGTGTAAGTAAAACGATATCTATTTACTGATTATAACTATGTAGAAATTTGCAGAATGAAATAAGATAGGATCAAATATTTCATGTAAACGTTTGTAACCGAGTAAATAAGCAGCATATTTCCTGGTTTTTCTATGAAATATGTATACAATTTTACTTTGCTTGACCATTAAACAAGAAAAAATAATGGTCGTTATAAGTTAAAGTTGAATATTAAAGTTAGGAATACTATTTGTATTGTAACCAATTTATTATATGCCCCATCCATAAAATGGGGGGGGGAGGGGTACATAGTGTTGCCCATGTCCGTCCGGTCCTTCGCGTCCCGTCCCATCCATGAGCGGGGCATTTATTTCATACAGACATTTCCTAGTTTAATTAAAATCGGTTAAAATTGATATTTTATTTATCTATTGACCAAATGTTTGTCCGGTACAAGCTTTTTGTGGTTCATTCGATTTCAAGCAAACTTGTTTTCAATATTGAATAACTTTTAAACAACTCAACTATTTATACCCCTGTCAACTAATTCACCCTTACCAAACCGAAAACATTATGAAGCATTTCATTAAACATAATATATATAATATTAATAAAAAAATAGCAAACGAGATATCTTCAAAATTCCACCTGTTTTGGATCCAAAACAACTTTTATAGTGATACAATCTACATGAGACATTTTTGCTTTTGGGGTAATTCCACATTTTATCCTAACGTCTGCTCGTCAAATCCTTAGCGGAGTCCATTTTTAAAAAGTCTTTATCACGATTAAGCGTTTCCGTTTATTTTCCCTCCCAGATCAAACGCTCAAACGACCTGACGTCTGGTCATCATTTTTGTTCGGCGGCCATTTTTGAAAATTGACTTATCCATAATAAGAGGCGGTCCGGAGTTGTTCTCTATTTCATTTTCGGTAGGAATCAGAACGCTTTATTGATTAGTCACTCCCGTGTCATTGCATTACATACAAAATGGCGTCGCTTAGGGGGTAAATTTCGAACGATTACACACCGAGGACTCTAATGACGAATTGTAGCAGCTGTTGGTGATATTTTATAGATTATGAATAATAGGTAAAAACACTTTGGATACATTTTTTACAATCTCTAACTTGTAATATTATTAGCTTTCTGGTATTGTAAAATGACAGGTAAAGTCCATTTGAAAATATTCATATATTGTAATTTATTCCTATTTAATATAGCATTATTAAACCCTGGACTTTAATTCTGTGATATTACCTGTACTAACAAGACACGTCTTTCTTTAATTTACAATTAGATAAAGATCTTACATTTTATATTATTTTCGTTCTGGTATTGTACAATGACAGTTAAAATTCATTTTAAAATATTCATACATTGTGAATAATTCCTCCCTAAAATATATTAATTTTACCTGTCACAATTAGACACAAATTTGTATTGCAAACTTCCAGATAAAGCTTTTAAACACCATTTTTTTGTGACTGGTGTTGACGAAATGGCCAAATACACGCTGGTATGATATTTCAAGCACATTTAAACATTACAATTAATTATGATGAGGTCTGCAATTTTCTGCAAACTTAAGCAGTTGTGAAGATATCTCAACATGTTGCTTCACTTAATTCTGGTTCAGCATTGAGTGACAATTAAACAATTGTATTTTTTGCAAATGATTTGTTAACATTTCATTCTCATAGTTTGGAAAATTCCATGTGTTTATAATATTTGTGTATATGCTGTCAAACCATTTTAGCTCATATAGCCCGTATGGGCAGAGGGGTTGGGCCCAATAAGGGAAATAGAGGGAAAAAATGTTTTTTTGTAAACATTAAGCGATCCATATTAACCAAATTTGTTCTAGAGCATCTTTGGACAAAGGGGAGTCTAGTTTGCATAAACAGAGGGTGTTGATATATTTTTTTTTATACTTTTGACAAACAATTGGCAATATGAAATTCTACAAACCTACTTTCATTAGTGCCCAATAGTAATCACAGTGTATGTCTATCTGTCTGTCTGTCTGTCCGTCAGCACTTTTGTTTTCGGAGATTATCTCGGGACTCCAAAAGGCTGAAATTTCTAAAACTCCACATAGTGATACAGTGTGATATATATATAGATGTGCAAAGAGGTTTCTTTATCAGGTCAAAGTCGAGGTCGCTATTTCTTAAAATTGAAAAGTGGGCTATACTGTCAAAACACATTACATGACCCTCAAAAGGCCAGATTTTGGTAAACATTTTGTTGTGACATAATGAAGCAAAGTTGGTCATAACCAACAAGAAGTGGACTTACCAAAGATCAAGATAATCTGGTGAAAGATTAATCATAAGGTCAAACTAAGTTAATGCTTACATTGATCATAAGGTGACATGAATATTCGAGAATATAGAAGAGAAAACTTGGCTTCCAAATTTATGAAGATCTGTCCAGTTGTTGATATACATTGCTTGAACTACTCATTCTAAAATAATAATCTGATTTGATTGATCCTCTTACACCGAACCCTTACAGCAAAATATAACGTTTTTAGTAAACATCCCCTATATTTCCCCACCCAATAACCATGGAGAGACAGTTATGATGCATGGGCTTGGGGACAGAGTGTTTGGATCAAATCATGGAACGGTTGAGACCTCAACTCTTTGACCATATCTGTAGTGACAGCTCACTATTTATGTAATTGCTGGTCATGAAGATATGGATACACTTAGACTACAACAAGTACTTTCAGGATTCAGCCCTCCTCCTTAGGCCTTAGTACAGGTTTATACTATTGAAATACACGTATTTGATATTCCTGCAACTCTACAACCAAACATGTGTGATAACATGGCATAAAGAAACAAACACAATCATGGATGCACCCTTGGGTCTAGCCCCATTATTACATATTTATTTGCCTAGAATGGCTTTTAATGAAAACGTTTTCTCAGGATTGCTACATATTATTTTTGCTAACAAAAACATATGAAAGGCAATAAAAGAAGTAAGTCTGAATGATCACAGCAAGGTAAGCACACATTAGTGATGACCAAATATGCAAAAAGCTGAGCAATCGTAAATGCGGACGTTCTGTAATTCTTTAAACGCCTCTGTTTTGTTAAGGCTAAAACTGGCCAGACAAATGATCACTGTGACATATGTCGACAAATGTTTCAACAATGAATAACTCTTCAATTCCATCCTACTTTATTATAATTATATGGTTACTAGATGGCAATATCACAAACTGATAAAGGACGACATCACCCTGTCTGGTTATATATTTCATTGTTTAATAAATAAAATTCACTTGTTGTTACTGAAAAGGACAATATTATATATATTATGTTTCGGTAAGCTTGTAATGATATTAATAATAATAAACTTTATGATAATAATAACAATAATAATTTGAAATGATAAATTAAAATGTTTTTTTAGTTCCCTGTGATGGTCGCTGTAAGGCCAATTCGTTCTGTCGAACCTCTGACAATAGGTGTTGCTGTAGATCTGGATATCGTGGAAATCCGTATGTAGGCTGTACACGCACGATTACAGGTAAGTATACAATAAATATAAAATCTACTATTTACCCTTTTCACTCTGGCATGCCTATTTGATAGGACTTATATAGGCTTGCCTGTTGTCCAATCAATTTGTTATCGAACAACAGAATTTGTTGAAATGAAACGAAATTATAGATTTTTTTCTTCTTTATATTTACTTGCGTTTCACGAACTATCTGATTTCGTAAAAATTTCATTTTGTATCGATTCTCATACCTTATAAACTTAACGATTAATGTACCAAATAAAAAACGCAAGTGTTGAAGAGAATACCGGATGTCAACAGAACAATAATCCGAACTCAAAAAAAGATAAAAACGAGGTCAAAATATACACGAAGGAAATATTTACATGGATACCTTTGAATAAATATCAAGGAAAATAAAACAAAGTGTTCTGGAAGAGTAAACGTCTTCTGCTTCATCAACGACAACTGCCATGTAAATCTGTGTCAAATTCAAGTAATGTCACCTCATCAGATCAACAACTCTGGTGATGACATAAAACATCAAGGCACATTAACGATCATAATCAAATACGTCCAACTTCATATCACACAAGGAAATAGTATATTTCCCAATGAGATCAAGATGGTGACTGTAAAACTTGTCCAGAAAACTGAGCTACAGATTGAAATCTGTTGAAGACCATGTGCTAGAACGCGCCGACACGTTCTCATTGCTGCCAGTACCGACAATTCTTTATTCCACACATTCCATGAATACATAGAGAAAAGATTCTAGCATACTTGAAATACACGTATTTCTTACTTGATATTTGTTTAATCATCAATCCAATGGTCAGTATGAGGTACTGCATAATACTCGACAAGAAAAGGAAAGGAAACAACCATTGTAGCATATATATTTTGGGAGTGGAAATCAAATTCTATTCATTAAAAGCATCCATGCGTGGACGTCTTTTGGTGTTCTGAAAGTGCAGCCGCCCCCTCCCCGTTCACCGATGAATGGAAAAGCATATCCGCTGACCTTGACCGTCGGTTTATAGATCAATATGGCAACGTTGCAACGCTGTTCAGTGCCAACGATGGTCATACGCGGTATTAAACTTGGTACTTAGGTAGCTCGACTTTCCCTGCGCTAACGCCTAAAAATCAATTCAGCGCGGCATGTTCTCTTGGTTGATGACAAATTATTAATAAACCAACACTTCATTAAATAAATTGATACCAAGGTGGTAAAAACTGCTATAAGTCCATGTATTATTTCCATTACAGTACCCTGCTGGGGAAAATGTAAAAGGAACGCCTATTGTAATAGGTTAACCAACAAATGTTACTGTGCCCGAGGTTATCGAGGAAACCCCTATGTCGGATGTACGTGTATCGGAAAGTAATCAATTTATAACTCGAATGTTGTTGGAATAAAATATATATTAAACACTTTACAAACATTTCATTGGTTTGTGTTTTGTTTGTTAACCTTCGCACCAAAGTGAACTAATAATATACGGCTCATATAAAAGTAAAACTAATATTTCGCAGGTATAAATCATGTGAAATCTATAACATTTATTATGAGCTAACCACATTTATGATTCCAGACCTGGTCGCTTTATTGCACAGTAAGACAACTTACATTTTCTCGGCCTGTATTTGTAATAACAATTCATCTTCTTTTAAGAGCAAGGAGTATAATCGGGGGGAAATGGTTATAATTGTGATTGAACACAGAGAACAGTTCATTAAGAAAATGCATGGATATTTAACATATACATTAAATGTGTATTTTCCCTTGTAAAGACCGAAACACTTCACTACCTTGAATACCAATACTTATATTAATATACCAATACTTTCGCCAAAAGCCTAAATCAATCTTTACATTGTTTGTATAATATTATTATGCAACACATAAAAGTTTACATAGAAAGTCTTTTATACAATTATTGAAAATCAATATGTCTTGCTAGGGTGTTAAAATGAAGCACTCAACTGCCTGGAATATCAATGTCTGTATTATAATATCATATGTTTTTCTTCTTAAATGTCCCTCAGTGACATTTGTCGTTTGTTTAAAGATAGATTTGTATAGATTCCCAGTATTGTTTAGTGTTCCCATCATGTTTTATTTTTTAGCATGCTTTTAAATGTTTAACATACTCACAGTACGCCATTTTGAATAAGGGGTTCCATTTCGACTGTTCAGAATTACACCAGGATTGGTTATAAGCATGTCAGACATGGCAGTTTCAATTCCCTGGATACATATCAAGTCTTCCTTAAAATTTACTGAAGATTTTGCTTAAGCATACAATAAACAGTTTAAATGATAGCGGTGTTTTAACTAAAAAACAGCTTTCTTTTATGGGCTCAGCCTTAGACCAAAACTGTTATTAATATTTTGACACTTGTTTTTATTTATTTTTGTGGTAATATGGAAGAGATGTTTGTTAAGGTTGTTTTTGTACTAAAAATGAAAAAAAAAATCGTTTTAAGATTTTGCAGACAGTAATTTTATAGACGGCATCTTTCCCTACCATTAAAACCGCCCCCTGTGTATCTCTTTCAACCCATCACAAGCGACATACAGGCAGTGGCAACAACCATTACAGACATAGAGTAGATATTAATTATGTCTCTCAACGTAATGTAAAAGATCGATTTCTTACACAGTACACTCATTATAAAGTCAATACACTTCCTCTTTTAGAATCACTTCGTGCGCCGGCAAATGTAAACCGTTGATTTGTTAGTTTAACGATAACAAAATTGATTTTTAAATTGACCTCACCCACCTTTCCAGTACGTGTGATAACAAGCTGTTTAAATAGTCATGGTTTGACCCATATGCAGTTCATACATGATTTTCAACACGTTTCGACCATGAAAAGTAGACAGATTGCCGTTATAACTTACTGTTTAGATTTGTAGGTTACAGCTTTACATGCCAATCAAAATATCGTTGTACATTATAGTAGTATTACATCCCGAGAACTAATACAAATTAGAATTTGCAGTCTGACTGGAGGTTGTAGCCGATAAGAAACATCACAGAATTGTTATTTTGAGTGCAAATATGATCATTGAACTACTAATTATTAACTTTTATGATGATATAAAACCAAGTTGATCGCAAAAAATTCTTAACAATATAGGAAAACATTTGTAAGCAACATGGAAATACATTTTAATTATCATCTTTGAACGCCGTTACATGACAGGTATGTACCTTAAAAGTAATGTCACGATTGTAAGAAGAATCGATGTAATTAATATTACATCTTAGCGCAAAGTAATGCAAAAATTCATTTCAAGGTGTTTTCAATAAATAATAACAAGAGGCCCAAAGGGCATGTATCCTCTGATTTCCCTATTGGGTCCCGCAACTATCAGCCCCCAAGGGGTCAAAATCCAACGTTTATACAACGTTTGGTTCCCTTTCCCCAAGGATGCTCCTGGTTAAATTGAGATACAATCCCTGAATTCCTATGGTAGAAGAAGGATTTCAAAGTTTTTTTACCTCTATTTCCCCTATTCGGCCCCGCAACTCTGCCCACAGGGGGTCCAATACACCGTTTATACAAAACTGAGTCCCCTTGGCCTAAGCATGCAACAGACAAAATTGGGACGAAATCCATTAATACCTATTGTAGAAGAAGGATTTCAAAGGTTTTACCTCTATCCCCTATTGGGCTCTGCCCCCAGGAGAACCACGCCTACTGTTTATACAAAATCGACTCCCCTTGGCCTAAGGATGCTCCAGACCAAATTAGAATAAAACCAATTTATCCCTGTGGTAGAAGAAGGATTTTAAAGGTTTAACCTCTATTCCTTCTATTCGGCGCACCCCTTTTCCCCCAAGGAGGGCAACACCCACCGTTTATACAAAATAAGTCCCCTTGCCCAAGGATGCTCCAGACCAAATTAGGATAAAGTTCCTTTATCTCTACGGTAAAAGAAAGATTTTAAAAGTTGTACTTCTATTTCCCCTATTGGGCCCTATCCCTCTGCCCCCAGGGGGGGGGGGGGGGGGGGGGGCCACACCGTTAATACAAAATTGAGTCCCCATTGCCTACGAATGTTACAGACCAAATTCGGATAAAATTCCTTAATCCATACAGTAGAAGAAGGACTTCCAAGGTTTTTACCTCTATTTCCCCTATTGGGCCCAACCCCTCTGTCCCCAGGGGGGCCACACCCACCGTTTATACAAAATTGAGTCCCCCTAGCACAAGGATGATCCAGACCAATTTAAGTTGAAATCCCTTCATCGCTATGGTAGAAGAAGTATTTTAAAGGTTTTTCGTCTATTTACCCTATTTGGCCCCACTTCTCTGTCCCATACAACATTGAGTTCCCTAGACCCAATAATGATCCAGACCAAATTGGGATAAAATCCCTTAATCCCTATGGGAGAAGAAGAATTTTAAATGTCTTACATTTAATTCCCCTATTTGGCCTCAAATCTCTGTCCTTAGGGGGGCAACACCCACCGTTTACCAAGGATGCTCCAGACCAAAGTCCCCTTTGCCTAAGAATGCTACAAACCAAATTCGGATAAAAATCCTTAATCCATACAGTAGAAGAAGTATTTTAAAGGTTTTTAATTCTATTTTCCCTATTGAGCCAAGCAACTCTGCCCCCAATGGGGCCACACCCACTGATTATACAAAATTGAGTCCCCTTAGCCCAAGGATATTCCAGACCAAATAAGGATAAAATACCTTTGGAAGAAGAAGAATTTTAAAAGTTTTACTTCTTTTTCCCCTATTGGGCCCCATTCCTCTGTTCCCATGGGGTCACACACACCATTTATATAAAATTGAGTCCCCTTTGCGCAAGGATGATCCAGACCAAATTAGTATGAAATCCCACAATCCCTATGGTAGAAGAAGTATTTTATAATAATTGGAGGTTCTTATATACCGCTTTATCACAGCCTAGTTCATCGGGCGTCTCAAAGCGGTTCACAAATTATTATCAGTGGTTATAGGGCCTTTGCAACTAGCCAGTACATTTCTCAACTCCATGGGGAGCATACAGCCGGAGCTGCCATTTCGGCGCTAACAACTAGAATTCAACAATTCTAGCACTGCCCAACCACGTACTCATTTACAGCGGAGTAGACTGGAACAAGAGGAGTAAAGTATCTTGCTCAAGGATACAACACATTGCCGTGCCGTGGCGCGAACCCGCAACCCTTCGGTAACGAGCCCGGCGTCCTACCACTTGACAACCGGGCCTCCTATATTATCCCTATTGGGCCCCACATCTATGTCCCCAGGGGGTCCACACCCACCGTTTATAAAACATTGAGTCCCCTTAGCCAAAGGATTCTCGTGACCAAATAAGGATAAAATTCCCTTTGGTAGAAGAAGAATTTTAAAAAAAACCTTCTATTTCCCCTATTGGGCCCAACCACTCTGCCCCAAGGGGGGCCACACTCATCGTTTATACAAAATTGAGTCCTCTTGGCCCAAGGATGCTTCAGACAAAATTAGGATAAAATCCTTTAATGCCTTTGGTAGAAGAAGGATTATAAAGGTTTACCTCTATTTCCCATATTGGGCCCCACCCCTCTGTCCCCAGGGGCCACACCCACCGTTTATACAAAATTAAGTCTCCTCAGCCCAAGGATGCTCCAGACCAAATTAGGATGAAATCTCTTAATCCCTATGGTAGAAGAATTATTTTAAAGGCTTTTCCCCTATTGGGCCCCACTTCTCTGTCCCCAAGGGGTCCACACCAACCGTTTATACAACATTGAGTTCCCTAGACCCAATAATGATCCAGACCAAATCGGGATGAAATCCCTTAATCCCTATGGTAGAAGAAGAATTTTAAATGTCTTACCTTTATTTCCCCTATTTGGCCCCTACTCTCTGTCCTAAGGGGGGCCACACCCACCGTTTACCAAGGATGCTCCAGACCAAAGTCCCCTTTGCCTGAGAATGCTACAGACCACAGTCCCCTTTGCCTAAGAATGCTACAGACCGAATTCGGATAAAAATCCTTGATCCGTACAGTAGAAGAAGGATTTCAAAGGTTTTTACCTTTATTTCCCCTATTGGGCCCTATTCCTCTGTCCCCATGGGGGCAACACCCACCATTTATACAAAATTGAGTCCCCTTAGCCCTAGGATGATCCAGACGAAATTAGTATGAAAGCCCTTAATCCCTCTGGTAGAAGAAGTATTTTAAAGGCTTTTCCTCTATTTCCCCTATTAGGCCCCACTTCTCTGTCCCCAGGGTGTCCACTCACACCGTTTCTAAAACATTGAGTTCCCTAGACCCGATTATGCTCCAGACCAAATTGGGATGAAAGGTTTAACCTTCATTTCCCCTATATGGCCCCAACTCTCTGCCCTAAGGGTACTAAGGATGCTCCAGACCAAATTAGGATAAATTCACTTAATCCATACAGAAAAAGAAGGATTTCAAAAGTTTTTACTTCTATTTCCCCTATTGTGCCCCGCAAGTCTGCCCCAAGGGGTCCACATCCACCGTTCATACCACATTTAATCCCCTTGACCCAAAAATGGTTCAGACCAAATCTTGATGAAATCCTTTAATCCCTATGGTAGAAGAAGGATTTGAAAGGTTTTACCTCTCTGCCCCCAGGGGGGGCCACACCCACCGTTTATACAAAATTGAGTCCCCGTTGACTAAGGATGCTCCAGGCCAGATCTAGTCCAAATCTACTCGGCTCTTCAGGACAAGTAGCGTTTTAAAGGAAATGTTGACGGACGGACGGACAGACGACGGACGCTGGGCCATGGTATAAGCTCACTTGCCCTTAGGAATTATATAGTTATAAATGCAATAAGATGTTGATAGCTTCATTTTAGATCAGTGCGACTAGAATGATAACCTACGTTAACGAGTGGAACATATTATATGTACAGAGATTCATTCACAGTTTGATAACTGACTGTCTGTTAAGATGTCTGTTGTATTCAACACAATGGTATTTGAATGATTGACTATAAGACATACTTCTACCATAGAGGTATCACATACTTGATAAAGCCCTTTAATCACAAGGAAGTGTTTTGAACTGTGGACTGGATACCGCTCACGTGGTACTATTCTAGTTAGCGCGTCATATTAATCATTCTTACTTTTAACCAGGAAGTTGAATATAAATATACACGTTTATGTCATGTTGAAAATGATTGAACACTCACTTCAAAATGGCTGCTGACTATCTAGCAGTGATATTCCGTGTATCCGTGACCGTATTCGTATTTGTGTTTGTCTTTGTCACTAAAGGTAAGGTAAACAATATTGTAATTTTAAAAAAAATCATAAAGTACATGTATATGCTTTGTATTGGTGGATATACGGGGTTTTACGTGTTTCAGGAATGTGCCATAGATAACTTGAATTTTAACATACTTCTCTTGGATACTCCTTATTTTATATGGAAACATATTTGGATCATTTCTAAGATTTTTGAAAGGCTAGTGGCAACAAATGTTAACTCAGCACGGTTGTAGATATAAGATTTATTCACGGTTGTAGATATAAGATTTATTCACGGTTGTAGATATAAGATTTATTCACGGTTGTAGATATTAAGATTTATTCACGGTTGTGGATATAAGATTTTTTCACGGTTGTAGATATAGAGGATATGTAATGGTGTCTTCAGTAATAACAAATATAATTCACGAGTGTGGCTAATATTTTGATATTTGCGCACTCGTGAAACATCGAAACATTAGCCACACGAGTGAAATATATTTGTTATTACTTGAGACACCATTACATTTTCTATTTATTACATTTTTAAAGCATAAAACATGAAAATGTATTGCATTAAAAAAAGGGCGGAAATCAGAAGCGTAATAATATGCGTCATATTCTAATGCCGTCACGCTTAACAACAAGGCTGTTTGCCATTTTGAATGGAATACTCAATGCAATTCCGACGTTTTCTGCTATTATCTGTTGTGATTGCTTATGAAAATGTTATTAATTGTATATTCATGCAAATACTTAAGTGTGTGTACCAAACTTTTACCATAACACCCACTTATTCTACAGTCGCTTCATTTGAATCTGAACAAAACAATCGTTTCCTTTGAATGCAGCGAATAGTCGAAGATACCGTTATGATTGGTCAATACTAAAAAGTATTGATACTTGTCACAGTGTGAAAGATATCAGTTTTATCAAGTTGATAGAATCCGATATTTCACTGGCAAAAATGTAATAAATAAGAGTTATTCATGGTTGTAGATATCAGATTTATTCACGGTTGTAGATATTAATTTTATGCACTGGAACATTTAAGGATTAACTTGAAGATATATCTATTTTGTACATACATTGGTTTTTTTTTTTTTTTTTTTTTTTTTTTTTTATATGAACATTTAACATGTGTGCATCGACTTTGTGGGCGAGCGCGTTTGCGCAGCTCGACCTAAGTAATCGGTTTTGAAGACCTTAAATCTCTAATCAAATAGTTGCAGACAAGTCGTTAATATGTCCTGAAATGATATATTGAAAAAAAATTCATTTGGAAATAATGTAACAACATTCATTTGGAACACCTCGGAACGTTTCGTTCTCTCTACCGTTTTCGCCGAAAGGTTCCGAGTTTTGTTGCGTACTGCGTACATGTAAATATATATTTTTGTATACTGTAAACAAGTTAAAGAGTTATTTTGCGTACTGCGTACATATAAGTAAAGATTTTTTGTTTACTGTATTTAAGGATTAACTTAAAAAAACGGAGTGTACTCTAAGTAAACCGCGAAGCGGTTTATGATGTTAGTACACTCAGGTTTTTTGTATTATAGCTTCATAACATGAAAAATGTATTTAAGTGAATCCTTATTATTTAATCAACTATACTCAATCCTTGTGGAAATCCACTTTTATTGATCGACTCTTTTCTCTTAGAAATTATTGCGCTGCTGTATCAGGCAATCAAAAGCGACGTTACAAACGGCGACGTCATTTTTTATGTTAATGGCTGATAAATTATTTAATCTTGCTTGTAACAAGCATATTTATTGGCTTAAAAACTTATGCTATCAGCCCATAACTTAGAAAAAAACGACGTCGCCGTTTGTAACGTCGCTTTTGATTGCCTGACACAGCAGCGCAATAATTTCTAAGAGAAAAGAGTCCATCAATTAAAGTGGATTTCCACAGGGATTGTGTATAGTAGAATAAATTATAAGGATTAACTTGAATATATTTTTTAAGTTATGGAGCTATCACACAAAAAACCGGAGTGTACTCTTATCATAAACCGCTTCGCGGATTATTTAGAGTATACTCCGTTTTTTGTGTGTTACATCTCCATAACATGAAATATATATTCAAGTTAATCCTTAAATAACTTAGTTCGTGTTACAAAATTTGTCAAGTATACGTTAATGTACCACTCAAATGCTAAATTTAAAATCACAAGTTATGAATAAGACGTTTAATATAAGTTTAAAACAATACCACTTATGCACATTATCATACAAGTGATTGGCAAACGTGTACGATTTATTATGTTAGATTGAAAAAAAATGTATAGGTTAGATTATTGTGCAATATAGCATTGAAGTGCACAGTATGTACTTAAGAATTAACAATCCTAGAGGGGTAATATAATCTTTGAGTGGGTACGCTCTCCTGGTGTCAATAATCTATTTCTAAAGCTGATTTGATAGCAGCTGATATTTACATTGCCTAAGTAAACAATCATAAACGCCAGACCTTACCTGACATGATCACTTTTGTTAACCTTTCGTCATGGATAAATTTGAACGCTGTCTAGGAGATGTATTAGGGCACTTTTTGATTTTGAAAGGCAGGGAGGCAGAGGAGGTGAAAGTCGGAGGAGAGGAAACTACATATTTATGAGGGGGAAAAAATGGTATCTCTGTCGGCACCCCATCCTTAACCCCTACCCGCAACACCCCACCTCAGTCCGTTTTCTTTCCTCCCCTACGTTTACCCAAAATCCCACACGTAATCCGGCCTAATTCATGGGGAAACAAATAATCATTTTCCCCCTAACAAGAACAATTTATATTGTACTGCACCGAAATAGAACAATTAATAAAACAGTAAATATAATCAGATTTACGCGCCATTGTTTTCGTCTGCTTCACTCACTCGGAACTTGGTGTGAACTGCCTCATTTTTGTTTTACTAGAGAGGTTCCGTGTAAACTTTGTGAGCCTGGGAAACATGATGTTATATTTTTCCGACATGTTATAAATTCATTCCAATCACACATGTTGTTATAAAGATGAAATCAAAGAGTATAGACAATGGTATCACAATAGTCGGAAACACTGACAAAAACGTACGAAGAAAGAATCAACAAGTGAATGCAAAGAGCATCGTGAATGATTGAGATTAACCGATATTGTGACCCTCCCAAGGAAGGTAGCACGAATCAATTATTTTAACTTTTCTAAAAAGCATTAAAGTCTGTTTCTAAAAGAAGTACTATGTATTATCGATGTGTTGGTTTTAAAGGTAAAACATAATTTCTTTAAAATGGTACAAAATAACATTTAAAGTCAGTTTGCAATGGCACATATACAATGTATCATCACTATGAATGCTCAGCATAAAATGAGAAATTCAAATTCTTCGTTTAATGCATGGAGTTTCGTACGTTTTAAAATAAAAGTCAACAAGCATCATTCAGAGAAAAAAACATAAAAAAAAACCGGTTGGTGTTTAATCATACATTGCATCCAGTTATATAAACAGGTTCTACAAATATAAAGTCACATGTGGAGTCTGGATATCAGTTTCCCCAAAAAGGCAGTTATTCCTTTTATAAAACGCATAATATACTTCACAAATCACTGTAGAAAACATACAACGAATTTGCAGGTAATATTATACAATTATGGACTTCAGTGAGGTCTATCCCTGATTTACGAACCTGGTCTGATCAATATTCACAGAGGCCGAAGGCTGAGGTGGATGTTGTTCAGACCAGGTCCTTAAACAAGGGATAGACCAAAACTGAAGTCCACAATTGTTTTATTATATGACATTTTACAATGAGATTAATATTTTTTCAAGTCATAAACACACGGATGGCATGGGCCATTTTGGAATCACAGAGTGAAGCACTTCCAATACAAAATAACTAACGAATTTAATTTAAGATTCAATTCATGTGATATTTAATTTCAGGTAAATATTATTTGCACAATCGACATCATCAATATTCACATAGTTTAGAATTTGATGAGATAATTCTTTTGTAGTTGAATTCAGTATTGTGATTGGTAACATAATCACAGACTGGCTGGGAAATAACCTAGGCCTATTTTCAGTAGAGGTCTGTAACACTTCTCTATTTATAGGTCGAGGTCTGTAAACATTTCTATTCATATAACGGTCTGTAACATATTTACAGACTCGTCACAGAAAATAAATTATTCTTCTTACTTGTGTGACCAACCTAGACAAACAATGTGTAATACCATGCATTATCCAAATCAATGAAATCTATAAAAGGGGGGAAATATAAACAAAGGGAAAAGAACAGAGGGAAAAACAATCAAGTGTTCGGGAAAAATAGACGTCTTTTGCTTCATCGACAACACCCGCAATGTCAATCTAGGTGAAAACAAAGTAATGTCACGTCTTAGTAAGCGAGAGCTGCTTAAGTGACAACAAAACAGTAACACACTAATGAGCATAAAGCAGTAGCATATTTCCCGATGTGATTATGATGCTTATTTTGAGAATTTTTCTAACGTATGGTCAGTGTGTATGACATCATTGAGTGTAGTGGTGTGTCGAGAGAACAGTGCCTCCCCTCCATCTCTCTAGTTTATTACATATTTGGATCCATTTTACGCCATTATGTCTTACCCTGGTGAGAAATCGTGCAGGGGGGAGAAATCGTGATGTGAACGCAGCGATTTTTGCACAATTTATCACTGGGTGAACAATTGTGTTGGGTTAGAAATCGTGATGTAGCATCCGCCATGATAATCATTGCAAAAGTATTTAGTGCATCTGCCTAAAACCAAACACAAACGTGCATTACATCTACCGCAGAAGGAATTTATAATGTAAATCCAAGCTGTTTAACTCGCTTATCTGCCAAACTATACTACGTGTCATGTTATTTTTAAAATGTCCTTTCTATAGTATACAGTGAAAGTGCTATAGTATAGAATCCTTAGTTTCGTCATGTATCGCTTGGCTGTGTGTAAAATGAAAATTACAGCGTCTATGACCAGGACGTGTGTAGACCACCCGTATGTAGAATGTACTACTTAGGTCAGAATAATCTACCAAGGCAATTATCAGTTCGATGTATATGTATATGCCACATCAGCTTGGACGTACCGTCACCAAGGCATTATAAACATATATTTACATCTTCCCCTTTTGTAGACTCTGACTGCGTATAAATAAGCGTATAAGCAATGAAAGAACGCACGGCGGATTGATACAATGTACCTGTATCAAATATGGCGATGTTCTCGCTTCAGCAAGATAACTGTTCGATGACAGCCATTGTTTTGTTACTTCAACATCTAGAAACATGAACCATATTCGGGATCCATTAAGTCTGATTATACAACAAAGGGATGCTGGCAAACTTCTTATTCCATGAATGTACATTCAAAATTCTTTGAAGGTAAAGTAAAACATGGCGGCTTCCTTTTGCGACGTTCGTCACAACCAGAGAAGTGTGTTAATCCGTGTACATAGCGACGATAAATATAAAGAATGTTCCATGAGCTACTAACATTTATTAATTTAAAATGAAAAAGCGATGAAAAGATGAAAAATAGTGTTTTTCACTGCGTATTTTCTGAATTTACCCATAAATCTATGTAGTTTCACGAGAACTATATTATTCTAGCAACCACGGCCACCATAGTTACCATCGTAGCAACCCACTTATACTGGGTTTTTTTCTTTGTATAGCGTTTGAACAATATTTATGATGTATATATACGAATTGGCATTGCCTTCAATCTTTCTAACGCGCACCAAAGAATATCTCCGTTGCCAACTGCGTTAATGCTACCGTATACGCCGTCAAAATGAAGGTCAATCTTTAAATAAAATTAAAGATAGTGCTATATGCATTTTAAAAAAGTCTTTGATATACTAGTATACCAACATGTGGAATGACATGCACAATGTATTCGTGATCAAATTGGGATTTCTACATGAACCAAAGCTACCGTTTGTTTTCCTTCTATGAAGTATGTATGGATCTATTTTAAATAAGTACTACATGTATCTAAGTATTGGTACCAGATAAAGAAGCACACATATCTATTTTTACGAGACAGACAGCTTAATCAAAGCATTACCTTTTTTTTTATAAACAAAATCTTAACTGATTTGAAACACGTGCAGGTGTGTATGATTATTATTTAAGCATTGCACTGCTTTCACTTTGTTTGCATTCATACGCATATATAATGCCAATTAGACAAAGGCAAACTCAGCGAAGTCCGCTAGCGCTTCATGCTGAATTTGCCTTAGTCAAGTTTGTATTCATATTGCCTATGACTGCCAACTTAAAGCAGTTCAATACTTATATTTACCATTTTTAGAATACGTTTCTCTTACATAGAACATTTTATTACACGTTATATTATTCAGCATGAAGTTCAAATAATGTAATTATCGTACATTGCTCTTCAACGAATAGAACAGTCATCTGTCTAGACATTGTCAGTGGTATCCACTGGAAACAATTATGACGTCATAATTATGATAATGATGTCATCAACAATCGGCTCATGACATTAGTAGTATATATGTATGCCAATTGGATGTGGTAGGGTTATTTATTTATATTTACATTTGGTGTGGCAAAGCCCTTCTATATTACTACTAAAGTACTGCCAATAGCAGTTTCATCTTATGAGACTATAACTGAAGTTGGTCTTTGCACCTCCGAGCGACTTAACAGTGTCACTACCGAACTTATCGGTATCTCCTGCTTTGATCCCGAACACTAGCTGCCTGTCTCAAGTGTCTGTGAGATCAACAAACAATTTTACGCCTGGAGTTTTCACCAATTCAAACTTCTCCGTTTGCACGATCAACATCAACAACATGCCGGACTACAAATAAACTCTGACCTGATTACTGCGGGCTTCCATTGAGTGCATGCGCCGGATATAGGTCGCAATAAAATCGGAAAATGTTTTACGACACTTGAATTTTGTTACTTTTTTATGAATTGAGAATATGATATATTTAAATTAAAAACAAATTATTTACGAAAGTTGCGTTTAAAGTCTTTTCAATTTTGAATGGGAAATAGCGCGTGACTTCAGCTGTTATCTTTGTGCCGTTTTAGATAGTGACCTGACCTGACAGCAATAAGCGGGAAATTTGAAAGTTGAAAAAGACAACATATTTTTTGCGAATTCTCATTACGAAAATATAAATATAAGCAATAAACTGCATAGATGTGGTAGACCAACTGGTATAACTGCCACATGGGTCACATGTGGCAGTTATACCAGTTGGTCTGCCACATCTATGCAGTTTATTGCTTAAGCAAAGCAATATGATCGAATTTTGATTAGAAAGTACATTTGTACTATCAGAAGTTTTAGATGGATTAGATGCATAAACGGCATATAATGTAAGATTTCATCAAATCCTGTTCTAGCATTCATTACTACTGTTGACGAGTCTTTTATGTATATATTTTGTGTAATTGCAGTCCAACAACAGGAGCTGCCGGAACGCACCATCGATGTGTCCGCCTGCTATTCGGATCCAAACGCCATCAGAGCCAACTGTAGTTCAACGGAAATGATTGCTGTGGATGAAGTGAACGCAGGCGCTAAATTGATCAATACTTCCTGTATGTCGGCCTCTACTATTGTCAACTTAGCAAACCCAGACTGCTGTGAGCGCGATAACGCCAATGACTGTTACACGCCCTACCTTAACCAAAACGCTGACCTAACATATAGGTACCATGAAGAGTGCACTGGACAAGAAGCCTGTGGACCTATCCAGGTACAATGGATGCGGATACCTGAATCGTGTAAAAAAAATACACGTTACCGTAATTTCACCGGCTACTTAGATATCCATTACTACTGCATCAAAAGTACGTATATGATGTCATATCTATTATGTCGTAATTAGGATACAAATTTCCTGGTGTAACCATGACAATACGTGCTGTTGTGTGTTAAAAAGACATAAAAAGAAAATAGAATAAGTGTAAACAAAACCACAATTCGAACTCAAAATTGATAGAATTTTGGCAAAGTATAAATAAAATGAACATTCAAAGAAGGCCATTTAACAAGTACAAAGGGAATATTTAATATGTAATACATTTTTATCTGATCATTGTATCTAAAAATTATAAAGTTTAGGTTGTTACATTACACTCACCGTTAAAGATTTCTGAAAATGCGGAAATGTTTTCGCTGGATTACTTCAATAATCACTCTTAACCCCTGTTTGGCGATCGTACATTTTTTAAGAAAGTACATGCCTGCAAGATTTATTATGTTTTATACTGCTTTAGATACCAGTGTTGGGGTGTTACCAGATGTATCGCTCACTTCTGGCTCCGACAGCGCCCTCTATCTCCAGGGTCAGCAATACCCAGCGTATATGGTGCAGTCGACATCTGTCAGCTGTTCTATAGAAATGACCCGTGGATGTGGAATCAGTGTCCAGGCCATACACATCAATTTTGACAAGGTGGGTGGAGTCTGTCAGCAGAATATCACGATATCTGATCTCTCTGGTCATACTGAAAACATAACGTGTGACGACAACAACAACTACACCATCACTAAGATGTACAGAACGTCATCCAACTACGCCACACTAGATATATCGAGCATGCAGGGAAGCGCCCAGTTCTGGATAGGATTTATTCGTGAGTATAATAAACTCCTCCTATAGTTCAAGAAAAAGAAACAAAGTAGCTCTTTTTTCTGTCAGTTCAAATCATTCAGCTATGAGTTGTGAAGAACGTTCCATCGGTATTGTATTTAGAATACTATATTGTAAAACTCCCTTTGAATATCGTCGTCTCTTATTGGTTAAGTAAAGCATCGGGTTACCATACAGTGACCAAGGTTCCTTGTAATGCAACCATCTTCGGAACCTCTCTAAAAATTGTTGATATGGTAAAGCTTTTTTTTTATTCATGTACCCCCTGTTTCTGTACAAAACTTGTATGTGTGTGAGATATGTAGAAAGAAAGTAGATAATGTATATTGTAATGCTACAGCTGACTCCGGCGGGAGCCTGAGCTTATCATGTCCAGCAGTTCCTAGACCAGTGGACACACCTTGTGACGTCTCCTCAGAAAAACGTAAATCTGAAGCAGCTGACACAGGTGGAGGTAAGTGGCGCTTATTCTATCATGTGACTTGGAGATGGCTATTCCGTCTTTGCGTATTGCAGAGTTATTTTCTCTTTGGAGCAGCTATGGATTGTTACGTAATTGGTTTGTGTGAGAAAATTACGTCGTTTTCTCAAAACATGATGACGTTACTCTCACAAATAAATGACGTAACAATCAAAACCTGCTCCCTAGAGAAGATAACTCTGCAATACGCTAAGACGGAATTGCAAAATGAAAAACGTTTGGTATTAATGAACGGTAATCAGTGCATACTTAATTTAGATACTCCATAGCTGTAAACGAATACGTTTGGGTGTCACTACCAAATTTTGTTTTTATGTAATTGCTTATATGTGTTATGTTCGTCTTTCCAGACACTGCTGTTTAGTTTCTTGGTACCCGAGGCTAGCTTTAACCTTGATAGCCACAGTAATCTCTTTTGAGAAGTTGCATGGTTCATAATATTAACGCCTCACTGATAATTTATTTTTATATTAACCAGTTCTCCTATATCATTTGAAGTTCATGAATTAAGGGAAAAATTAAAATAAGTTCGGCTCCTAACATAACTGATTAGTCATAGAAGGACAAAACAGCTGTTTGATGCAGTGTCGTTCATTTTTTTTTATTCTTTTTTCATTCGTTGTACTTTTTCAAATTGTGTAGGAGCAACCACCGTGTGTGTGTGTTACGTTCAACTTATTTATGGCGTTATGCTACAGACTGCTCCTTTTCTGGTTCTTCATTTTTACAGGATCATCGACAATCATCATAGCGGTAGTGGTGTCGGTTGTCTTACTAATCATCCTTATAGTTGTGGCTTTGCTGTTACGATGGAAATACAAAAAACGAAAGGTAATTGTTGTTACTAATTCCCCAATGTATCATTTATAATTGGTATTCGACTGACTTATTTATTTGTGCATTCCATGTGAGACAGTTGGTTGATATGTATATATAATCATTCTCTGTGAGATCATAGGTATGTAATAATCATTCTCTGTGAGATCATCGGTATGTATATGTATTCTATGTGTGGTCATTGGTCTATATATGTATTCCCTGAGAGATCATTGGTTTGTATACGTATTCTCTGCTAGATCATTGTTTTGTATATGTATTACCTGTGGGATCATTGCTATGCATTATTATTCACTGTGAGATTATTGGTCTGTATAGGTATGGTATGAATAGGTATTAATATGGGATTATCAATGTATTTGGTTGTTACATGTACTTGTGAGACCACTGGTATGTTAAAACCCTAGATATCGTCAGATCAGAGGTGAAGTTTTACGTATTACCTGAAAGAAAATCTACTATTCTATATTGATTTTGATTAGTTTCATCTGTAGCCTAATGGAATAGATATGATGATATATAGTTTTTAATGATAGTACTCCACAAAAAATAAAATAAATTGTGTTATTTATCATAACATCACTATCGGTGATCAAATACGTATACATGTAATACACAGAAATATATGTAGTGTTATAACACAATTGATGTTAAGACTCACAACTTTTAAATACTGTACATTTGGTATGCGTTATTTACAGAATGCGAAAGTCGTACCAGAGAAAGCTAATAATGATATGCATGACGCCGACACTGATCCGAACCATGATTTAGACGTTCTGCGATCTATACCTTTCGAAGCCAGTACAGCACCGTGGGCTACAGCGGTAGTCGGGTCACGTGGTAGCAATCTCCCACCGATAATATCACAAACAAACGACGTTCCAGAGCAAGATGACCACAAAAAGAAGAAGAAAAAGAAAAAGAAGAAAAAGAAGAAGAACAGCGATGACGAGGGAAACGTTTTAGCATTTGAAGAGGTAGGGGAGAGTAATGAGTAACGTGATAGGAACTCACCTGTATCTCTGATACACGGACAAGTCCGATAAACCCCCACCTCAGTAAAGATCCGAGGGGATGTACATACAGTTGCTTACATTCCACATACTAACATGTATGACATCATATATATGCATTACAATAAAACCGCAATGCATAGTTTGATATAAAATATGCACCTGATCACACACAGGGCAAAATAAGGGCAATGCAATGCTGTTGTGAATACACAGAATTTGTAAAACTGTTTTTTGGTGTTTCCTATAACTTGATTTGATGAATGTCTAAATTGAACAATGCTGTCGCAGCTCCTTCGGGTAGACTTCTATGGTTTACAAAGTGTCATACGTCAAAAATGAGTTTTTTAAAACGATTTTCGCCATTCCATTGTAAATGTCACTACTCTAACCCGACTTACCATTTCCATTCACATTGTTAGCTATACCATGTGAAAGGTACTGTTTCTTTTATCAAATTATATCCAAACTGTGTTTCATTTAGTTATACGTTAATTAGTCGTACAAAAACTGAAAGTGGAATTAATATTCAGGCTTAAGCTCTTCTTTTATATCGTTTAATAATAATAATAATAATATACAACATTTGATATAGCGCCCTATCTAGCTGACATAAGCCACTCTAAAGCGCTTTACAGTACATAGATATTCAATTAATACAATTAGCATATACATTAATTAATTCAATTTTGAGGAATTCGCAGGAGCTGCCTTATCAGGCGCTAACTACAAGTCCTATGCCACCTGGCTAATATCTCCCTATGTGTGCATACCTGCGTGTGTGCTGGATATGTATTGTGTTTAGGAAAGATGGTCCATGACAATGTACTATCTATGTAATTAAATTATTATTTGGGGTTTTAAGACACACCCATACGATAGTTGATGCAATGTGGCTATGAAATAACAAATACAACTGATGAGAAAGAGAAGGCGGTTTGGTTTCACAATAAATCATAAGATAAGGAAGAAAATGAATTTGCTTTAAAAAATTAACAACAATAAGATTTATGAAAAAACAACTTCATAATCGGAAAGACAATTTGGTGACATTTAAAAAGTCGTAAATATACGTGTAGCGATAGCAAAATTGCGATCGAGCATATGTATTTCTTACATAGAAACCAATACATCAATAATGAAATTACATATATGATAAAATGTGTTTTATTTGAATGAGATAACTGTGCTGTAATCCTAATGACATACTTTATGAATTGATAACTATTTGTTGATATTGTATAATAGATTGTATATATTAATTTATTATTTTATTTTGATTTAATTTCTGATTTTCGTCCAAAAATATACTCGTCATTCATAAAAAACTCTTGTCTAAATATATACAAAGACAGCCTAAATTATTATTTTAAGATGAAGATATAAACGTCGCCTTATCTGTTGTGTGCAAATTTCCTGGTTTTTGTCATGATTGAGTATTGTTCATATTTTTTCAGTCTTTTGCACTATTTTTTTTTACAGGAAATGAGCGAAATTTATTTTATTTTACAAATTATATTTGTATATATGTATTAACACTGTGATACTTTATAAAAATATCTGATTACAATGTTATACAATATTAGTTTTGAATACCTGTGTATATTATCTTATCGATCGATATAATTACATGTTCACAATCTTCTAGTACTAATACAATGTAAATACATGCTTATATGCGTGACACAACTGTGATATTGGTGAAATACGAGGTAAATTATTTTTATCAATGACATTCAAAGGTGTACATACTTTATTAATCTATTGATGTTGTTATTAAATATGACTGAGGTAGATTCTCGTAACAATTGTTATACAATAAGCTGATTATCAATGAGACAGAAGGGCATTCTAAATGGAAATTCAAATATATATTCTAAACGTAATTATGATGTCTTTCATTTGTTAGAAATGAATTTCTTTTACAATATTTATTTATACATGTTTGTCTCTGCATTCTGAGAATGAGAATGTAATAAACTAACAACCATGTCCGTCCGTCCATCCGTTCACATTTCGTTTCCACATGATAAGTTGCTCATATATTATTCAATATTTTCTTAATTGAATTTTGCCAGGAATTTATATCTTTACAAGTGAAATCCGCCAATAATATATCAATATACTGTGCTCTGCTATGTCGACGGTTTCCGTACAATAACGTTATCAAAAATTACGAGATAATTATCAACGACGAAAGCCCAAATAGAAATCAACGGTTAGTTGGTTGAATAACCTATTTTAGTTTTGGATTTGTTTAAAGGGCAGTAACTCTTAAAGAATATTTCTATCACTATGGTGCTGCTCGATTCGTCTCTAAAATTCGTGGGCCGGACATCAAACATGCATGGCTGCCACTTCGGGAGCTATTAAAATTATAAGTGATGTTCCACACTGGGAAAGGTTAAAGTGAATACAATACTGTATGTGTTCATTATAAAATCTAAAAATAAATTCTTGAATACGATATTGAATTGTTGTTGTGTTTGAATGGTTATAAACGAAATATAATGAGAAAGTGTACCATATAACCAACAAATAGATACAAAAAGACATCTGAGGAACAAACATTTATAAAAAAGTAGAGAAAAAAGATTTGTAAAAATGTGTTATCGCGATTTGTATGACTATATAAAATCGTGGCATAGTTATTAGGTTTTGCTAAATGTGTATAACTATTGTCAGCTATATAATGATAAATGATCGCCAGTTGTATATTTATAAAATTTCGTGAGTTATAAAGTTTTAAAGTATCGTCAGTTGTATAATTATAAAGTTTTGCAAGTCATATAATGATTAAATATCGTCATTTCTATATTTAAAAAGTATCGCCAGTTGTATAGTATATATGTGCCACGAATTGATCAATCAGCACCAAGCATTAATCAAACGTATGGAAATGACGTTACATCCGGAAAGTTTCAAGCCAATCAAAAGTCCTAGCAGCCATCTTAGACTATGGGATCTGGTAAATATCTGTTCATGTAGTAAACAGCAAGATAACGCGAGATCACATTCTGTAAGAGTCTATAGAGCTTTCTTGCGATACAGAACATCGTTTCCCTAGATTGGCCTTCATACAAATCCGATTTGTTCCAAATCGTGCATTTGAATGATGAACTAGTCGAAAGAGTTAGGTATCACCGTTATCCGCCAAATACCCTCCTCCAGTTTGCCAACACATTTGTTCAAGAATGGAATAATATTCCAATACGGAGAGTGAATGCCCTCATGAAATCGAACGATGCAACGAAGAATAAGAGGTACTGTAGCTGTTTGAAGAGAACACACACGGTTTCCTTTACTGCCATTTCAACTTTGATTCACGGATGGCACTACAAATCATGACCGTCTTGCAAAATGAACTTTTGTTAAAAAAAATCTCGAAATGTATAGGAGGTTCAATATTCAATATTAACTATTGCATCTTAAATTTAGACATGACATCAAAAGTTTTTTTTTATCAAACCCTACAATTTCAAGTTGCATTTCTTTTTCGTTTCAGTATACATATGCATACAGTAACACATTTGGTCGTCAAATACTTCTTTTATAATTTGGTAGAATATTAAAAATCAAGAACTTAATAAACTGTAAAACCATTTACCTTTTATAATCAAACAGGGTGATTACTTGCCTTTTCCTTGTCGTTAATTGACAATCCTGTGTTCAGACTGGTGCATTTTTCCCCTTGTCCGCCTTTAAAAGCCCATAATGTTTCAAACAGCTAACAGCTGTTTCGCAATGAAGGTCGTGAAGTAATTGACAAATCTTAATTAAATCATGTCTACGTTTTATACGTAAAAACTTTATGGTATGTTTTGGTACAATCAAGTTTGCATGGATGGAGCCACAACACTTGGAGAGACAACGCTTCTATTCAAACATTGTTCTTTATAAAGAAAATTTAACTTACCATTATCGGCATACATCTTAACAAAAAGCATGTCAATAGGACAATGACGTGGGATTTGTCGGAATGAAAAGCGTTTGTCAACTGAGTAATTTCTTATTGATTCAAGACCATCTTCATGACCATATTAATTGCTTTGATAATATCTGTTGCAAATATTATTCAGGAGGGTTCGATTTCTTACGTCAAACTATTTGCAGACAATGTGTCTGAAAATGGAGAAGAGGCTGTTGAAATGAAATGAATAATTGTCTACAAGGAAAAGGTTATTGGTGTACCTAAATATAGCTAATTTATAAAAAAAAAGAATATTAAAGAAATAATTTAATACGGTAGTCAAAGTACATAATTGATAAAAAAAATATCTAAAGAACATCCGTATGCTACATCTATAGGCCCCGATTGAAATTTACCCCAATATTATATTGGCATACTGCAGCCATAGAGCATGCAATGTCGTGTAATCATACTTGATGCAGCAGTTGTTATTACAGGTTGAGACAGAGAATTGGCCATCATTTTACAGAAAAAGATATGTATGAGGGAGATTACAGTAGTGTACATATAAAGAATTCATATTGAAAAAAAAAGGAGTTCTTAAACCTTGAAAACGAATAAGTGCCCATGCACGTGTTAAGTTATGGAAAACGTCTGAAATGTGAGTGATATTGACTCTTTGCAGACAATATAGTAACAACTTTGTCCTACTTCGTACATATTTTAAGGACAGTCAGTCATACGCTGCTGGTTGTTTATGTAAAATACGTATTATCTTACATCTGTTACCTAATGTATTGTAAGACCAGGTGAAATTGATAATTTGTATCAGATCTACCTTGCAATGTTCTTAAATATAAGATTGATTAAATCAAATCATAATGAAATGAAGGTGTCAGTAATTTGTTTGAAGACTAACGACGGTCAATTAGGTTTTTGTATAATTTATTGTCCAACAAAGAACATTGTCGATGGTAATTGTTAATCAATGGTTTAAATGCAATAAAACATTCGTTTTAAAAAGGACGAAAATAACCTCTTTATTATGAATTATATCATATTATACTTATTGAATGATTCGGTTTGGATTTAACTAAGCAATATGATTTTTTTCTTTGCAAAAATCTAAGGTGGTTGAATGATTGCAGACAAGAAAAAAACATAAACGTTACTTGTTACTTGAGTGAGATCTTAAATCTGGATGGTTTGGCAGTAAATGTATAAGTTTTTGTGTATATCTATATCTAGAAATAGCATTTATTCTCGTGTGGTGATTAATTCAATGATAAATAATACTAAAATAAATTCAAATAACTGTTTATTTGTAGCGTACGATTTTGTGAAATTCACATGCAATTCCGCATTTTCCAACTGTTCTTCCAAGATAGGAACGCAGAGAACCGTGGCATTCCTGAAAGAAGACAACAATTATTGCAAAATTAAAAGGTAAATAAACAAAAATGGTAGCAGGTGTTATCTAAGGATTTCCTCTGTAACGACAGAGCTTTCTACATTTAACATTTTTTCTGTTGTTGATAATTGTAATGATAAGACTTTTCTGTAACGACAACAACAATCAACGTTTAACCCACAATCAACGTCTAATCAACGATCAGAATAAAGCTGGTAACTGACACAAATCAGGGGAATAACTACAATCATTCTTTCAAGTTTTTCAATAATGAAACATGTATTGTTGTCAGACCCTATTCCTTACTGAATTCATCTGCAGGAAACGTCACGAAAGTAAATTTAAGTAGGGTTTCTCGTGAAATTCATTCTGATAAATGAGAGTTCAGGATTTCCTTACCTGCATCTAGCATGCATATCATGTATCTGTATAGGTTAACCTCTTCAGCATGGGCATCTCCCTGTACATGCAACAGGTACCCTCCTGGAGGAAAAATAATTACCAAGGGTAATATGAATTTCCTGATAGAAATACAGAAGATAGTTTTAAGTCGGTTCATTGGCATAGATATTCATTACTGCAGATTTTAAAATTTAGTCCTAATATTGTTTGTGTGGAATATGTAAAGTCAAACCTGTTTGAGAGGCCACCTCAATGTCAAGAGACCACTTTTGAACCTCACCATGGTGGTGAGTTCTTTGTTAACTAAACTTGTATTAAGAGGGCATCTGCACTTAGAGACTACTTTATGGATTATCTAAAGATGGTCCTTGTAACGGTCTCGACTGTTACCATGTCAATAGATTTTATCACTTATTTCCCTTTTTTGTTTAGAAATATTAGCTCAGAGATATGTATAATTATTAACCCTTTATATTATGTTTTGTCATAAGTTCGTTCATTTAACTTATTTTCGAACTGTTATGTATTGGAACTATCAGTTGACGGAATGAGAAAACATTCGTAAATCAGTTAATACAGTTAAAAGGCATGCTAAATATGTTAATGCTCGTGTTAACGCAGGAACACATTAAGGTGATCATGTCGGACTTCAAAGGTCTTAAGAGTATGGAGTACTGCGCTCATTGTTTTAATCCGGATCATTTATGGAAAATAGTTAAAACAAACTAAGTATACCTTATAAAACAGCAGTGTTTAGAGTGTAAAGATTTAGTTAGAACCCTCAGATTGTTATATTATTGCTCTAACCGATTGAGCTATCTGATCAACGGACCTATCCCTGACCCAACTTTTTAAAAAGTGATATACAAACAACCGTTAGGTTGGGTTAAAGATATAAAGGAAAAACTATGGTGAGACAGATGATTAAAAACTACCATGCTTATTTCCTGACTTCAGCCCCACAAAATAATTAAGGCGTATTCCAGTCAATTCAGTAAAAGTGCGATATGTTTCCTCTCAAATTTCTTAAGAGTTACCTCTCTTGCATTACTTGATTCTAAGATATATTCTCACGTTAATTCATCGACGTAGCGATAAAAAATTAGAACATTTATTACTACATATGGTGTTAGTTTTGGTAACACTATTGAGACACTATTCTATGCCAACTTCCCACGGCGAGGGATTACATTTTATCGCAGTACTTTCGTAAGTGGCATATAAGTCTGTCGCCATTCCATCTGTAAAAGGCATATGTATTCAACACAGTCAGAAGAGAACATTATTCAACCCTTTATTTTAAAGTGATGCTTGCTATCGATGTGTATACCACCGGTTCATATGTAGAGAATATCTTATGGTTTTCTATTAGATACCGTCAATATTTCCCAGTATGAGTTATCTTCGCATGTGTAGTTAAACATTTCGTATATCTTCCATGCAGTGAAGACATCAGTTTCAAACACACTGATAATTTCTGATAAAAAAAATAAGAAAATGTAATAAATATTAGATAATAAATGATAAAAACCACACAAACCAGGATACTCAACCCAGCCAATATAATGAAACAAGGGCAAATCATTTTGTATAAAGGGGAAAATTACATTTCGCTGATTGCAGGAATCAAGCTTCCGACCTTGTTGTCATCATGCTGACACAGTTAGCTGCATTATGTGACAACTTGTAACACCCCGGTTTAAGAACTCGCACAACAGAATCAGCAAATCAGCAAGTGTTTCAAACGGTTGTAATTCCCTCCTAAAAATTGCTCTGGTTAAATACAGTGCCTCTGAGTAATTGAAATGCGTAAATATTGATGTACATTTTATTGAATGAAATTTTAAAATATCTTACAAGTGTACTTGACGTACAGTGTTAGTTGATTTTCATATGTGATGGTGGATTTATATGGGGTCAAAATTCAGGGGAGTGTTCCCGACCCACTTCACCGGTTTAGCTTGAAAACTTCCGGTTGTCAAAATCAGAAGCCTGTAGTGCTCCTATTTGCCACTAAACATGCAAGAAATGCACTTTGAAACCTTTGTCAGCTATGTATCTATAAACAAGGGCAGTTGTCGCTGGTGTTAACTTCTATAAGGTAAATGATTAAATTGTGTAAGTCCTTTAACAGAATGTTACTATTATGATACAAAAGTATAAACGCTACTCGGTAAAGTAAATAATATGCATGCTATAATACAAGCATTCAAAGTCAGCGTATTTGTTACTTACTCGCAATTGGCAAGGCATTTATTGTTGTACGTTTCTCCATCTTCACCACACACTGGAGCCAATATTTTTGGACATGGACATGGACATGGACATTTCCCGTTGCAGCGAATGGCTACGCCTCTAGATAAACAAAAGAATGTAAACTTGTCAATGAAAACAAAATCACTTCGTTGAAAAAAATGTATCTCTAAAGCTGGTTCATACCAACAGTTGTATCGACAGAGAGAAAAGCAATACCCCTAAGGTCTGGTTAACTGTTAACACAGTCTTATTGTGCTTCCTGTATCACTAATTGTGGTTCAAATCCCATTGAGTTTACTTTTGTTTTGTTCTGTTTTATCAATTTCGGGGAAAGGGGAGATAGGAAAAAAAATCATAAGAGACATTTCGAAATTCAGCAGCCATCCTTTTTTGTTTCCGAAGCCAGATCGGAAGCATGTTTTTTAACTTTTGTATTTCATTTCTATATATGATCATTGTTGATATGCTGATATCTGTTGCTTATTGGTTATTCGGTCAAAGTAAGGTCCAAGTTTGTTTTGTCCTTCGTCAAATTGAGAATATGTAGTACTTGTAAATGTCTGTCATTTCATGTATAAAATAAATCATAATGGTCCAAGTACTATTGGTGCTATATTTGTTTATTTATAACTTGAACTACTTAATTTCCATCTTTTCAGTCCAAACATTCTCATTTACCAAAGTTGTGACATCAAATGTTTTCTTCAGTTTAAAACAAGATTCATATAGTTTAAAATACATGATTTATGTTCATTTCATCGGTGAAATCTGTCACCAGCTTTTTACTCTTAGTAATTGAGTTTAAATGGACTGGTATATTAAGAATATCAGCTTCATTGATTACTCTTGTTTTTACAAATTTATTTACACTTGTTATTTTAGCAATATTTGAAAAGCTCGTTGAGATTATTTAACAAGCATTGTCTGTTCTAATAGAAAACAAAATATGACTAAAAAAGTAAATGTATATGAATACGGTAATATGAAATAAATATATACTTACAGACATGTAGCTACGCATGTGTTTCCGTACGTTTCCCCATTTTCTCCACAAACTGGGATGTAGACTTTCGGGCATTTACAATTACAAGGACATGGGCCGGAACACTCAACACGGGTATAGCTTCACAAAGACAAACAACTACATACAGTATTAAATACAAGTAGGTGTTCTAAATGAAGTTAGTTGATGTATATACTGATAAAAAAATGTATTTTTAAAAAGCCAACAAAAATAAAACAAAAATGCATCGACATAAGGTAAAATGTGAATATGTAACATCTTGATCATATATTTGCGTAGCTGACCTGATGCACACGCAATTGAAGTTCTAATTAGAACATATTTATGCTATATTAGATACGCATTTTAGAGGTTGATAGTTGCTCGAAATTTGGACGTGGAAAATGAAAACAAAAAACAACAAAAAACGAACGCAGAACATTTACAATACAAAGCCAACGCTTTATCGATGCTGCTATCGAGGAAATATAACTACAAGACATCAGAAATTATGTCCAATTTATAAGCTGCAAAGCCAAGAAAATCTTGACAAGGATATAAATTTAAGCAGAAAAAAAATCCTTTTGGATTGCTTCATTTTCATTGTAAACGGTGAATAATCCGAACAAAATTCAAGTGGAATTCTTCTTTACGTTTATAACTGATTAAGTGGTATCCTTAACTTTAAACTGAACGTATTTGACCTCATTACCTCCACCCGTCAGGTAGAAATATACATGTACGTTAAGCAGTTTGACATTGGACAGAGAAATCCGCTTAGAATTAAGAATCTGTGCATGCCGAAAGAACATCATATGCTACCGGCTGTAATCAATTATAAGAAACATGCTGACATATCTCCGCATGAACTGTTAAATATAACAATGGTATTCCGATCGAATAACTTGTCACCGACGCTTTATCCTATGAGAATATGGTTTCATATTGCTTTCGTCCTGGTATTTAATCAACACAAAAAAGAGACAAATGTAATATTGTATTGACATTGTCAGCAAGAAAAAAAGTACTGACGCTGGGTTTTTTTGTAAGATAGCAGATTTACCTTGCTGAGATCAATTATAAAAGATTGCTCCTAATAACCTTCCTTCCTTTTTTCATATTCAACAACATATGACAAACAAAACCATTCAGTTATCATATTAGATAATATGCAAGCTTGGGTAAAGATAATTGCTTTTTTATAAGGTACTGCTATAAATAATAACGTAAAAAGGAATAACTTACTTCCAAGCTGCTAAACATTTGTTATCATATGTTTTCCCGTCAACACCGCACACTGGTCGGAACTCTTTCGTACACAAACATGGGCAGGGACATTGTTGTTTACATCGTATGGCCGCACCTCTACATTACAAAGAATGATTTATTCCGTTACCTTATTACCTCATTGCATGTACATTATGTACAAACATTGGTAATCTTCTAAAACAATGTTACAGCGAGGTCCGTGTAACCGATAGGAAAGCTTGTAGTCAACGAAGTTCATTCATAACATAAAAGTTAACGTAGATTGTTCGAATAGTACAAGATATAACCCCAATTTACAAGAGAAAAAAGTAAGCGAGCTGTGTGCAAGAAACTACAAAGACAATACATAGAGATGCAATAAATATACTGTATTCCAACTAATGGATCTCAGGTGGAACTCACAGTATAATTTGAGATTTTCTATTTCTTTGTTGGCAACAGTGACAGATAACTACCATCACTTCAACATCTGATTTACTTCAGCGTCTTTTTTGTTTACTTAATTTTATCTTATTTATAAAAAAAAATCACTTGGGCCGTTCCGAATGATCCCTCCCAAACGCAAACGTTCCGGATTGGTACATAGCCATAAAATGTTTCAAACGGCATAACATTAAACAATATTTGTTAGTTTTCCTACCAAAAGCTTTGTAATCAGTGAAATTTCCCAAGGGCGCAATGCCTCCGTTTTAAGCAAGTTAGACTAGTGAAAAAAGGCGTACTTAGCAAAACTTTCGAACAATTCTGTACGGGATATTTTCATAATTAAATACATATTGTAATGTAAGTTTTTAGTCAATACGACTGAAAAATACATATATTTATATACGAACATTGTATTTGTAAAAAAATAATGCATTTCTGTTACAATCTTCAATAGATTGATAAAATTATAATTAATATTTAATATGGCGTAACATTTAGGGTTCTTGCCATTGCCGAAAATCAGATGTAATATCGCTGCTAATAAAGTACTCTGTTTAAAGCAACAAGTTATTGTGAACCCATTTTCTTTAATAGCCAACATTAAATGTTAAAACTGTGATTTGAAATTTTAAATGTGCTAGGAACCTTAATGTGGCTAAGGTGACCATTCATTATCGGAAAGTAGTATACAACATACACAGTTTAACATCGGAATAGCGCACTCGTGCAATATATTTTTTTTAATATATTTTCGTCTCAATTTCGACATTTTAAACACATTGAAAACAGTTTACACTATATTATGAACCATTCTATACAGCATTACTACCAAAAGCTACAATGCACTAATCACCACAAATGTATATTCAAATACATGTTCAACTTAACATTGTAAAAGATACTAATGATAGCACACCACACCTAATAGCTCATAGTTCGACACAACCGTTGTGTACTAAGTAAGATAAAGCCTAGATAACTTATTAAGAGTTTATATTCACGAACATTTTGAATAATGCTATATAAAAATTGTCCCTAAACAATACATATGCAAGACCTCACACTTGTGTTTTTCTAACGAATCAGAAAGCACGAGTTTATTGTGCGGACGAATATATACGTCCGCGCAATAAATGAGTGATTTCTGGTTCGTTAGAAAAACACAAGTGTGTGGTCTTGCTTTTATCACATACCTTCCGTATTTGGTAGAGATCGATACAAAGATTTTATAAACTTTGATATTGTTTTGCAAATACAGGGAACTTTTCGGTTCGCCATGACAAGGGGATTCCCATAAAAAGTAGTTCCGGCTAGTAGGTAAATACAACATTCCGCATTGCACATGTGCAATACAGAACGTTGTATTGCATGGTCTGAAAATTGCTTGTATTACTATAACAAGATTCACCAGGTATGTGATAAATTTGGCTACGTACACTATCCATAATATATATGATACATGTATGTTATACTTACTGACATTTTGCCATGCATGGGTTTCCGTACGTCTTACCATCGTACCCACACACCGGGTTATACTCTTTAGTACAAACGCAGCCACAGGGGCATTCGCCAGCACATTCCACAGGTACATTCCTACATCAATGGATTTGTGCAACATTTCAGTGTTCAAGAAAAAAAGGCAAATGTATGCTTATGTAAATATAGCGGATACAGTATAGCATGTCATGTAAGCGAGTTTTACAGACACAAAATTTATCTGAAAAACCATTGCGATGCAACTATGACTCCTCAGAGCATTTATATATCATGCTACGCGTGGTAATCGAGATTTAAAAAAACATTTGTTAATGATATGAATATTGTTCGCTTAAGTAAAGAAAACAATGAAAAAATCGATTCATTGACAAAACCACATGAACTTTGATAAAAAAAAGCATCAAAAGGTATAAAAGAAATGCATTCTCATTTAATCAGCCCCATATAATTGCATATTTGCATCATATCATTGAAAATTGTTACTCCTTATTCAAATAAATTACACTTTAACAGTGAATAAGTCAAACAGTTGCATCAAACAAATTCAATAACTTCAGAGAAATAAACGTCTTGCATCCTCTATGATCTAACAATGTTTCTAAAATCCCGCCACTTTCGTTTCCAGAAAAAGTGGTTGGATTGTAAAATACCGGACACTTTGGCGGTTTTTTTCTTGGTAGTCGAACGTCCGGTTATTGGTGTTTGGATTGTCTATGTGCTGTTGTGTTTAGCAAAGACGGTGACTAGAGAAAAAGATCATTTTCAGTCACGACAGACTTCACGTTCCACTGGAAACTGTTTGAAAATTATTTAATAAGTCTATAGAGTTTGCTGTCTGAAATGTTGACCTAACGTTGGATCTTAAATATAACCCGTTTATCGTCACTAACAAAAAAAGAACCAATTTAAAAACTGACATACATATAATATTACTTACTCACATGCTGCTTCACACGCGTTTCCGTATGTTTTATTGTCCACCCCACATACCGGGATAAACACTTGTGGGCAGAAACATGGACAAGGGCACTTCTGCTTGCATGCAATGCCAACGCCGCTGTTGGTTAAAGATAGGATCTTAAGACATACATTTAATACTAGACCTAGTTATGCTACAGCTGTTGTTGCCTCTGCGAATTCTGTCGTTAGTTCTACCCCATTCTCGATACTCCCAGGTTTACGCTCACTTACGCTTTCTGCACCCCTGGAATGCTTTAAAGCAAAATTAAGGCTAGCTGTTTGATTGGTTTCAGGTGAAAACAAAGCTTACCACTTGCTAGGCTGATACCTGTCCTTTGAAGATTACGTAGGACCGACAGCCAACTTATAAACTAATAAACTTAACTGTTACGCTTCCTACTTCCTTTTATGAACGCCAAACTACCTGTATAAGTCACGAGTCGACGCGTACAGTGCTTCGAATTTGTTATGAAATATTCCAGGGATGCAGAGAACGTAAGTAAGTGTAGGCATTGAAATTTCGAGGATGGTACTTCTATTACTCCTACTACCACTACTTACTACTACAACTACTACTACTACTACTACTACCACAGCATCGACTACTATCATTACTACTACTACTACAACATCTACTATCTACTACTACTACTACTACTACTACTACTACTACTATTTCTACATCTACTCCTACTTCAACACTACTACTACTACTACTACTACAACTCTACGTCTTCAACTACTACTACTACTACTACTACTACTACCCCAGCATCGACTACTATCATTACTACTACTACTACAACATCTACTATCTACTCTTACTACTACTACTACTACTACTACTACTTCAACAACACTACTACTACTACTACTACTACTACTCTACTACTACTACTACTACTACTACTATATGTACTACTACTACTACTAGTACTACTACTACTTACTACTACTACAACTCTACGTCTTCTTCTACTACTACTACTACTACTACTACTAATACTACTACTACTACTACTACTACTACTACTACACTACTACTACTACTACTACTACTACTATATGTACTACTACTACTACTACTACTACTACTACTTACTACTACTACAACTACTACTACTACTACTAATACTACTACTACAACAACTACTACTACTATTACTACTACTACTAACTACTACTACAACAACTACTACTACTATTACAACTACTACTACTATTACTACTACTACGACTACTACTACTATTACAACTCCTACTACTACTTCAACACTACTACTCTACTACAACTACTACTACAACTCTACCTCTTCTACTACTACTACTACACCACTGCTACTACTACTTCAACACCACTACTACTACTACCACAACTACTACTACTACTCCAACACTACTACTACTACCACAACTACTACTACTACTTACTACTACTACAACGACTACTACTACTATTACAACTCCTACTACTACTACTATTACAACTCCTACTACTACTACCACAACTACTACTACTACTCCTAATACTACTACTACCACTTCACCACTCCTACTCCTACTACTACTACCACAACCACCACTTCCACTTCCTACTACTACTCCTAATACTACTACTACTACCACAACCACCACTTCCACTTATTACTACTACTACTAAAACCTCGATTTCTATCACTTCTACTACTTCTTTTCCTATTGCTTCTGCTTCAGCAACAATCTACTACTACTACTAAAACCTCGATTTCTATCACTTCTACTACTTCTTTTCCTATTGCTTCTGCTTCAGCAACAATCTACTACTACTACTAGTACTACTACTACTTACTACTACTACAACTCTACCTCCTCTACTACTACTACTAGTACTACTACTACTACGTCAACACTACTACTACTACCACCACCACTTCCACTTCTTACTACTACTACTAAAACATCGACTACTATCACTTCTACTACTTCTTTTACTATTGCTTCTGCTTCAGCAACAATGATATAATAGTCGAAACAAGTTCACTCCCAACAAATTATTTATGATATTATTATTAGAAATATATCTCCAATCTTTTTTTAAAAATTCAAGGAACTGTATAGTTAAATAGATGTATTAATTTGATTAATCGCAGGTAAATCATTCTCGAGACAATAACTGATGTTAAAATTCAAATCCGTTGTATTGGGCCATAACCACGTTTAACAAATATAGACGTAACGACTTACTGACACTCTGTTGCGACGCATTCGTTGCCGTACGTGTTCCCGTCTATTCCACAAACAGGATCGTATTGTAAGGTACATTTACAGCCACATGGACATTTACCGACACAGTTCACAGCAACACCACTAAGAGAGACAAATTCCATTGTAAAACTTCTCTTTCAAGATTTAGTAAATGATCGAAGATAATTACTTTGTACAGTCAATACGTTTTCTGTTATTACATAAATGTTTATGACTCGCCTTTTCTTTTGGACAAAGGCAATAACCTCGCACAGTCAATACAGGTACACCCACAATCATAACTTTATGTAATCCAATAATGGTATGATCGTATATATATATATATACATTTACATATATATATATAGCATTGATAATAGTGCATCGAGGTTCCGCTATATACAGGTATCATTCCAGTCTTGGGCTTTCCAACAAAGCTGCTCTAAATAGTTTTTAGGCTAATTCACATCGCACAGTGCAAAGTAAAGCTGTTGTTTCTTTCGATTTTTTTTCCCTTTTTAATTGGATAGCAATACAATTGCTACAATATTATATAGAATAGCTGCAATATCAATAAGAGTACATATCTATTTCTGACTTATTTACGTTTACAAAATATGAAAAATATTGATGAAAATATGATTTAATGCAAAATGTTCGTTAAACGTTCATCATGATAAATGAAAAGAATTCTGAATGAAACAATTTATGATACTTACGCACAGCCAGCGCGACACGTGTTGCTGTAGGTTTTGCCGTCCACCCCACACACCGGGTTATAATCTGCTGTACAAATACACGGACAGGGGCATTTCTCTTTGCAGGCAATCCCAACACCACTGTTGATTGAATAATGCATCATTATTACAACCCATACATGGTGCTATTTCTGCTACTTCTTCTGTTGTTGTCAGTTCTTTCACTTCCATGAGTTTGATACCAACAGGTGGGAGTGTATGTTAGGTTTATAATTATAGTTACTGTCACAAAACAATATAGGTTCAGTCATCAGATAAAAATTGAACATGGCTGCAGAGTAAGGCAAGAAGGTAAGAAGGTTTCAACTTTATAATTTCTCTTCGAATGCAGGTTCTGTGCAGAGCCCCGTCGGTCTATAGAAAATGTTCAACTAATTTAGGCATTGTGTACATACGACTATTTATAAACAGAAAGATATATGATTAAACTACTTACTGACATTTTGTTGCGAAGCATTCGTTACCGTAAGTCTTCCCATCTGTTCCACAAACAGGATCGTATTGTAAGGTACACACACAGTCACATGGACATTTACCGACACAATTCACAGCAACACCACTAAGAGAGAAAAAGTCGATTTCCCTTACATAACTTTCAGTTAATTTACAAAAACAAAAAGTGTAACATTAAGTATATGCTGTAAGCGTACTTATTTTAGCGCCGTCCACTTTTAGTACATTATCGAATTTTAAGAGGTTAGCGCATTGATGAATTGGCGCAAACATAAAATATGTAATGGACAACATTACTAAGCATGATTCTTGCGCGTTTTCGGCAAAGCCGTTCAAAACGATTCTAAGACCCGTCATATCATATAGTACAGACTTCATGGCATGCTGGTATTCGATTGGATAACTTTATCACGTTTACAAAATCATATTGTACAGAATTATCAAAACAGATATGAAGGAATTTAAGACTTATTACCAGCCCAGTTGTTCAAAACGTGATTAGCTTAATCACAGTTTAACGACAGTTTTCACCCTTTAATAATTTTGTCGATATACAAGGAAAAATCTCTCATTTTTTTAATGTAAATTCACGCTACTGAATATTTGATTTTTGGAAAGTTGTAACTAACTCAATGGTTGTGTCTTAAAGATACATAAAATATAAAATTTGCGCTAATTACTGAGTAATCTAACCACCTTTTGAACAACTGAGCCCTTGTAGATAAACACTTCGCCGTCTATCATTTTTAAAATGAGATACATATATATATATATGTTCTTTCATGTAAAGTTTCGAACTTTTATCATAGCGGAAAGATAACCATAACGCTTTAGAACTCATATAGTAAAATATTCTCGAAAATCATCAGAAAATTGTGTTTTTCTAAATGTATTTGTTTTTGTCGTATAAACATGATAAGGGTCGCAATGTTTTATCTCTATCAGTCACTTAAACTACAACGTGTAACAAAGTATCTACATTTTTTCCCCCAAATACAATGATGATGATAATAAATAAAACAATTATATATACTAAATAATAATTATGATAAACAACATTTGAAATAGCGCCCTAGAAATCTAGGTAACATAAGCCACTTTAAAGCGTTTTACAGTACATAGATATACAAAAAGTACAATTAGCATATACATTAATCAATACAATTAATACGTTAATACTTAACGTATTAATGTTTTCAAATACGTGATTGCACTTACGCACAGTCCGCGCCACACTTGTTGCTGTAGGTGTTGCCGTCCGCTCCACATACGGGGTTATACTCTAGTGTGCAAATACACGGACACGGGCACTTCCCCTTACATTTGATTGCAACACCACTGTAAGGAAAAATAATTCGATTAAATGTAAAGGTTGTTTTTTTAATTTATTTATAAATAAATACGGCATAGTTTATATAAACATTCTATATCATTGCTGACTTTTGTTCAACATGAATTCGTTCTTCAGCGAGTTCTTTTTAATATGAAAATTAATGAACAAAAGAAGATTAACTTTAAATGATACATAACGGTCATGAGTTGTGGACATTGTCGACGATGTTTTTGAGTTTTCGAGTGATCAACGTCGCTAACAAACGACTAATTAGGCCGTATAAGATTTTGTTTGAAAAGACTATTTTGCTTATCTTTATAGCTCTATACACCCTTTTAATTCTGTAATAACATTTTAGCATCTGTTATTTTTGCTATTTCATAGACTTACCAACTAAATAGGCACGTGCTCCTACTGATTATATGACTCACAAGGTTACTGACACTGTCACGAGAATGGCCGTAGACTTATACTTATGTAGCATTTTTCTTGTACAGTTTAAATGGAATTACAGTTTATTAATGATATGTTGCAGCTTAACGTTGTACCGGTATAAAGGGCTTCAAAAGTACCTTCCTTTAGCTTCGGAAACTTTTTGTTAACTTTTTTTTTTCATTCTTTTGTCTTTTTGGTTCCAATAATGAGTGCTAGGTGTTTTTTTCGCTCGACTCACTCTCTGGGTTTCCCGAAGAGTCAGAAAAACAATATTTGTTTAAGAGAATGTCAGAGGTATTATGATCAGTAAGATTAATATCAGAACTTAATAACAAACATGGCGTCCAACCTGGTATTCTTTATTATTTCGAGATTATTCGTTTTTCTGCTCATACGAGTACAGAAGGCAAATCTAAGTTAGATGTAGTTCGTAAATTTGAATTATTTGAGTATACCCATACGTTATCGTGCAATGAACGTTTACTTCATTAACTGAAGTTTTAAATAAAACGTTATCTTACTTGTGTGTCAAGTGATTATTTCCTTCTTAATGCCATGAACACTGGTTTGTTCAATACATTGTATATCAATGTACATAAATATACCCGGAAGCGTCCGCTTATTGACACATACACACTAACTATGTTGCAATTACTGACCTTTGGTCACTTGGAAGCGTCCGCTTATTGACACATACACACTATCTATGTTGCAATTACTGACCTTTGGTCACTTGGAAGCGTCCGCTTATTGACACATTCACACTATCTATGTTGCAATTACTGACCTTTGGTCACTTGGAAGCTTCCGCTTATTGACACATACACACTATCTATGTTGCGATTACTGACCTTTGATCACTTGAAGCTTCCGCTTATTGACTATCTATGTTGCGATTACTGACCTGTATTCATTTGTAAAGTTCCGCCTATAAACATATATATTTGTTAGATTCTGCTAACTGACACGTTTATATTTAAAGGGGTCGATTAATAACATTTATCACATAACTGACCCGTTTTAATAAGTCATACGGCCATGTCATAAATATGGCATTACACATGTGTAATACAACCTAAAGGTGCTGCGATTGGTCAAAACTGTGGGAACATATTCCTCCGCGACTACAGGTACTACTTTTTTACTATACCACATGATACATTTACTGTTATTTCAAATGAATTAGAAAGGTCTATTTTGTTATTATTATTTTCATTACATTTAAAACTATATTTCAAACAGAGAAAATCTGGAACTGCTTTGCACCACGCGAAATAACAATACTATGATCGGAGTATTCAGTACTTTGGTTTCAACTATATAGAGTCAGCTGAGAACACATCATTATGTTTGATTTTTTTTCTTCAAATTATGGATGTTACGTGAGACACATACTCTTACATTTGTGTCCATGTTATAATGAATGTATTAAACTCGTTCAATACATTGATATGACACTCACCTAAAGGCTCATATCAAAATATTGGACTCGTTTGATAAATTCAATATGACATGGACACAAATGTAAGATACTCTATACATATACAATACAATATACTATATAAATAAAATAGTTAGGTTTCACTTACTGACATCCTGCAACACATGCGTTACCATAGGTCTCGCCATTCACACCACAAACGGGAGCAAACTCGCGGGTGCAGATACAGTCACATGGACATTTCCCGATGCAAGCTACTGCAACACCCCTATGTAAATGAAAGGTAAATACGTCATAGCAACTACCCTATATAATACAGAGGAATATACGTCATAAAAATAATAATTATACCGATTGATATATTGATTAAGAGGAACTTAATTAACGTCATCCATGAAGGAAATTGAACAATTCTCGAAAGGTTTTATTTTCTTCAGCTTTCAACTCACATATAGTGGTCATTAAATAATTTATTATTTTACTGTTAACTTAAAAAAATCCAGGTGCCTTTTACATTTAAAATAAATATTCTTTAACAATACATCATCAATTTACTAATCATATTTAGTTAACCTAGGTTTACGCGTATTGTGTCAGCATATTTTTATTGTTTGTTTTTAATTATTTCTTTACTTACTTGCAGCCAGCGGAACAGTCGTTGCTGTACGTTTTGCCATCTACTCCACATACTGGGGTATAATCCTGCTGACAAACGCAGTCTCCACTACATTTTCCGGAATAGATAACGTTGAACTTCCTGAAATCATGTAAATTACATAATATTGTATCCAGTTTCTATTACTATTTCTTATTAAACAACCTTGAACAAGTTTGATTTTTAAATCAGTTTGTTACATTTATCATAATCAGCCATGTTAACCTTTACCATTGTAGATAAGATACTAACAAATCAGAAACAGGTCGTTTCTTTTCGTAATATTTGTAGAGTTATCGGGGACCAATCAGTGCCTGATGTCATATCGAAATTTTGCCACAAATCCAAAATGGTTTCCGATTGACGATATTAACCTAACCGAACTTGAAACAATAGGAAACACAACATTATTCCTGCAAAATGAGCTGCGCCAACATTTTCCTTAGATTGTAATGAGAACCGAAATGAAATGTAGAGGGAGAAAAACATAACTTTCTTTGTTGTTTTGAACGTAAATATAAGGACTAAAAAGTATCCAGAAAATAGTATGACCCGCAGAAAGTACAACAAAGGAGACTTTGAAGATATGAGAAAATACCCTGGAGATGCCATATGGGATGAAATGCTGAAAGGTGATTTAAACACTATATACTTTATACAACAAGTTCATAGAAATATTCCAGTAAGTAAGTAAGTAAGGACCTTTCCTACAGCGACCGTCTTAAGAAATTAGGAATCCCAACACTGACATTTCAAAGAATGAGGGGTGATATAATTAACGTCTATAAAATTTTCACGACAACAAAGTTACTGCTGGCATCTTTGATCAAGATTCAAAATTTAGAACAAGAGGACATTCACAAAAAAATAAAGAAAAACATTGTAAATTAGATATTAAGAAACATATAAGGAACAGTCTTCCTGAGGCGGTCAAACAGGCTACAACATTTAAAAACATCTTGAACTTTTTGATATTGTTATATTATATGATATGGACATAGAGGCAAGTCATATCCTGCGTCGCGCATCTATCCTATTAAATCCTATAAAATCCTATGTAATATTTATGATGGTATAATACATAGTTCCCTTTAAACATTTCCCCTGTGAGAAACTACCGCTCATCGTGGAACATGCTTAACAGAACTGTTATGCATAACATCAAAAATGATCAAAATATTTATTTCAACTTCAAATAAGTTCACATATTTTGCCATCAATTTGTTTGGAAACAAATACAAGCAACACATTCAAAATTCTACCATTACAGTAATTTGGAACCCGCGACCCAGTGGTGGAGGGCTAGTAGTAGCAGATTGTCAGACGCATTTGGCCACCGCGGCCCCCCATTACAGTAATTCAATGATGTAAGATCATTTTTTTCTGTGACTACACAATAGCATGGTGATACGAGGGGAATACAGCTAACGCACCTCAACTCATAACGGCCTCAGAATGTAACGTAATATTCTATGTTAAAGGTTTCAAGTTCTACAAAGCATTTTTATACTTCTTTTATTTGTTTAATTGCTTGAATGTCCAAAGTATTGCGTCCGCAGGACATTTGTTATATGGATTAGATGTCAACAGAAATTCAGCTCATAAAATGGACGTATGAAAGTGTGGGGTCCCAATGTTGCAATAAGGGCAGAAGATCAATTTTGGTTTCTCGAATGTCCCCTAAGCAAAGACAAAACACTAACTTCCTGGTTCTACAGGATCCCCTTCGTTAGTCGTTCATTCAGTTGGATGTAGGAAGTTTATTGTTTTCCTGTGGTATAAAGATGCGTGAAGAGGCTCAACATACGACATACGAAATTCAGATTATGAATGTTAAGCGATTCTTACTTAAACGGGTTAAATACAATAGCAGATTGACTGTTAACTGGATGAAACAGCTCCACTCCCTATTCTGCAGTACTAATGAACAGGGTATCCGTCCAAGAAATGTTGATCGAATTCTCTAGAGGTCCTATTACTTCCGTTATAATTTGTGTAGTACTAGTTAACTCCTGGGCGCCTCGACGCTTACGTACAAAACAGAGAGACGATGTCTGAAATAAATTGGCTTGCTAACCGTTATGTCTAATTGTACTTATATATATGTCAACTGATTTCCTTTATCAGACCTTTCCAATACTGGCAACCATCAGCACAAAAGATGTGTTACTTCTATAAGTAATTTCTGTTAGTAACACGTGTTATTTATTTTCTGTCAATTAGCTCAGTTTGGGTATCTGTCAGATACTTCTTTATCTATGTATTTGCCATGATGTACATTTTATTTATAAACTACTAAGACGGAAGAAAACGAATTCGTAAAACAAACGAAACAAAACAAATAGCACAAATACAGACTATGATAAAATAAGGGCGATATAGTTGATATTGCAATCAGTACTTCGCAAAAACAACGCAAAAAAGAACAATCTTAAAAAAAGATACATATTTAGAGTAAAGCCTTAGTTTTTAGTAATAAACAATAAATAATTATTAGACTAAAAAGGAATATTTCTTACTAAAAAATACCTACCTTTTAACTTTGCATTCGTTCTTAAACGTCTTTGTAGTAAATTTTGCACCACAGACACGCCCGCTTGTTGCGTTACATGTTTTTTCTACAATAATAACAACACACACTAGATGTACGTAAATACGTGACATGTACGTGAACACATGACATGTAATTAAACACACGAGATGTACGTTAACACATGGCATGTACATAACCACACGAGATGTACGTGAACACATGGCATGTACATAAACACACGAGATATACGTGAACACATGGCATGTACATAAACACACGAGATGTACGTGAACACATGGCATGTACATAAACACACGAGATGTACGTGAACACATGACATGTACATACACACACGAGATGTACGCGAACACATGATGTACATAAACACACGAGATGTACGTGAACACATGGCAGGTACATAAACACACGAGATATACGTGAACACATGAGATGGACATAAAGACACGAGATGTACGTGAACGCATGACATGTACATTCCCACACGAGATGTAAGTAAACACATGAAATGTACATAAACACACGAGAGGTACGGGAAAACATGACATGTACATAAACATGACATGTACATACACACACGAGATGTACGCGAAAACATGATGTACATAAACACACGAGACGAACGTGAACACATGACATGTACGTAAATACATGGCATATACATAAACACACGAGATGCAGGTGAACACATGATGTACATAAACACACGAGATGTACATGAACACATGACATGTACATAAACACACGAGATGTACGTGAAAACATGGCATGTACATAAACACGAGATGTACGTGAACGCATGACATGTACATAAACACACGAGATGTAAGTGAACACATGACATGTACATAAACACACAAGATGTACGTGAACACATGACATGTACATAAACACACGAGATGTACGTTAACACATGGCATGTACGTAAACACACGAGATGAACGTTAATACAAGGCATGTACATAACCACACGAGATGTACGTGAACACATGGCATGTACATAAACACACGAGATGTACGTGAACACATGACATGTACATAAACACACGAGATGACGTGAACACATGACATCTACATAAACACACGAGATGAACGTGAAAACATGGCATGTACATAAACACGAGATGTACGTGAACACATGACATGTACATAAACACACGAGATATACGTGAACACGAGATGTACGTGAACACATGGCATGTACATAAACACACGAGATGTACGTGATTACATGGTATGTACATAAACACAGGAGAGGTACGTGAACACACGACATGTACATAAACACACGAGATGCACGTGAAAACATGGCATGTACATAAACACGAGATGTACGTGAACACATGATGTACATAAACATACGAGATGTACGTGAACACATGACATGTACATAAACACACGAGATATACGTGAACACGAGATGTACGTGAACACATGGCATGTACATAAACACACATGATGTACGTGATTACATGGTATGTACATAAACACACGAGATGTACGTGAACACATGGCATGTACATAAACACACGAGATATACGTGAACACATGATGTACATAAACACACGAGATATACGTGAACACATGAGATGTACATAAACACACGAGATGTACGTGAACTCATGACATGTACATAAACACACGAGATGTACGTGAACACATGACATGTACATAAACACACGAGATGTACGTAAACACGTGACATGTACATAAACACACGAGTTGTACGTGAACACATGACATGTACATAAACACACACACGAGATGTACGTGAACACGTCACATGTACATAAACACACACACGAGATGTACGCGAACACGTGACATGTACATAAACACACACACGAGATGTACGTGAACACGTCACATGTACATAAACACACACACGAGATGTACGTGAAAACGTGACATGTACATAAACACACACACGAGATGTACGTGAACACGTGACATGTACATAAGCACACGAGATGTACGTGAACACGTGACATGTACATAAGCACACGAGATGTACGTGAACACGTGACATGTACATAAGCACACGAGATGTACGTGAACACGTGACATGTACATAAACACGAGATGTACGTGAACACATGACATGAACATAAACACACGAGATGTACGTTAAGACATGACATGTACATAAACACACACACGAGATGTACGTGAAAACGTGACATGTACATAAACACACACACGAGATGTACGTAAACACGTGACATGTACATAAACACACGAGTTGTACGTGAACACATGACATGTACATAAACATACGAGATGTACGTGAACACATGACATGTACATGAACACACGAGATGTACGTGAACACATGAGATGTACATAAACACACGAGATGTACGGGAACTCATGACATGTACATAAACACACGAGATGAACGTGAACACATGACATGAACATAAACACACGAGATGTACGTGAACACGTGACATGTACATAAGCACACGAGATGTACGTGAACACGTGACATGTACATAAGCACACGAGATGTACGTGAACACGTGACATGTACATAAATACACACACGAGATGTACGTGAACACGTGACATGTACATAAACACGAGATGTACGTTAACATATGACATGTACATAAACACACGAGATGGACGTGAACACATGACATGAACATAAACACACGAGATGTACGTGAACTCATGACATGTACTTAAACACACGAGATGTACGTGAACACACGACATGTACATAAACACCCGAGATGCACGTGAAAACATGGCATGTACATAAACACGAGATGTACGTGAACACTTGATGTACATAAACACACGAGATGTACCTGAAAACATGGAATGTACATAAACACGAGATGTACGTGAACACTTGATGTACATAAACACACGAGATGTACCTGAAAACATGGAATGTACATAAACACGAGATGTACGTGAACACATGATGTACATAAACACACGAGGTGTACGTGAACACATGACATGTACATAAATACACGAGATGTACGTGAAAACATGGCATGTACATAAAAACACGAGATGTACGTGAACTCATGACATGTACTTAAACACACGAGATGTACGTGAACACATGGCATGTACATAAACACACTAGATGTACGTGAACACATGGCATGTACATCAACACGAGATGTACGTGAACACATGGCATCTACATAAACACACGAGATGTACGTGAACACACGACATGTACATAAACACACGAGATGCACGTGAAAACATGGCATGTACATAAACACACGAGAGGTACGTGAACACATGACATGTACATGAACACACGAGATGCACGTGAACACATGACATGTACATAAACAACGAGATGTACGTGAACACATGACAAGTACATAAAAACACGAGATGTACGTTAACACATGGCATGTACATAAACACACGAGCTGTACGTGAACACATGACATGTACATAAACACGCGAGATGTACGTGAACACGTGACATGTACATAAACACACGAGATGTGCGTGAATACATGGCATGTACATAAACACACGATATGTACGTGAACACATGACATGTACATTAACACACGAGATGTACGTGAACACATAACATGTACATAAACACACGAGATGTACCTGAAAACATGGAATGTACATAAACACGAGATGTACGTGAACACTTGATGTACATAAACACACGAGATGTACCTGAAAACATGGAATGTACATAAACACGAGATGTACGTGAACACTTGATGTACATAAACACACGAGATGTACGGGAACTCATGACATGTACATAAACACACGAGATATACGTGAATACGAGATGAACGTGAACACATGGCATGCACATAAACACACGAGATGTACGTGATTACATGGTATGTACATAAACACAGGAGAGGTACGTGAACACACGACATGTACATAAACACACGAGATGCACGTGAACACATGACATGTACATAAACACACGAGATGTACGTTAACACATGACATGTACATAAACACACACACGAGATGTACGTAAACACGTGACATGTACGTTAACACATGACAAGTTTATAAAACTATAACACACGACATATTGATGAAGCCATTTAAACCCAAAAATATTTACTTACGACAATCAACAACCAGAGGTGCGAGAAGGAGCGACAGTCCTACCACACTCAAGATATATGACATCATCACTGACATCTGTAAAGCTAAAAATTCAATTAGTATTCAATTATATGAAATGTTTAACAACAGTCATGTCGTAATATTCGGCGCATCGCAATATTCTGCACATGAACAGCATTTCTACGAATACATGTAATTTACAATACACATCAATCTAGTTTTAAATGACAAATATGTGCATGTTGTTGCAAAAACATGAAAACATTGTCATTTTACGGACACAATCTGCAGTGTTTACATATTTGGTCTTTCTTGTTGAGCTTCATTCACGATGTCGCCGAAGTGACGTGCATGTATGTACATCGTTAGTGCTGGAATAAGTGCTGTATTAAATATCAAAAACGCGTCAACTTATACTTCAAAGTCAGTTTTATAGAACAGGTGGATGGCTTTTATATGAGTGATAGTATTTACCAGCAATTTCAAATATCGCCCCAGAAGAATGAAACTGACTAAGACTGTCTAAAAATTATTCATCAATGAATTTATATTTCTCTATGAAATCAATTAAAAATGATTTCAAGTAAAAGTATTGAAAGTAAATTATTTTTTTCTATGCTACAGTATCAACCAATAAGGATTAAATAGGAACTCAAATTAACCACCTTAAAACATCAACAAGAAGCAAAAGCACACGGAAACAAAAAAGGATATTTAAATCCAAACAAAACATTGAGGCGAAACAAAGGGATTATGTTTGGATACAACACTGACAAGTAAAATGGTATTCAAATGTTGTCTGGTGTCTAAATACGCTGATGATCCCTGTATCTTTCCCTAGATATTTCTGACAGAAACATTTTACTTACCATATGTAGCTATGAGTAAAGCAAAGACTACCTTTATAATCCAACAAACGGTTCTGTACTCTCCAAACTTGCGAGCGCCACCGACAGGTCATATACTAAACAAAGTTACTGGCTTTTATCCTTCTCCGTTTATTGTGCTGCCAACGGAAAATCTTACAGCTGTCACTGCTAAATATATTTATTTAAGGCGATTAAGAATGAACATTTATCTTACTACATCTTAAATATTAAAATATATATATATTTATCAGATAAAGTCAAAATTCGGTATCTCGTAATCGATAACTTCTATATAAGAATGACATTCTTCCGAACTTATAATATCCCGGCCGTTTGAAGTGTTAGAGATACATTTATGCGTAATGTAGTTGAAGCGAGGTGTGAAATGTACAAGTTGAATATATTTGATAAACACTTAACACAATTGTAAACACAGACTCTGACATTAAACGAAACAAATCCCGTTAAATCCAGGACACTGAAAATGCTAATGCTTACTCTGAACTTTATACACTGGAAAAGCGTATTGTACGGTGGTCTATCGGATTCATAATAATAATAATAATAATAATAATAATATAACATTTATATAGCGCCCTATATAATTTGTAAATTACTCTAAATCCCTTTACAACATATGGATACTAGTATTAGTTATAATTGTGAAAAAAGAACAAATGCTTATAATCACTTTTATACATTAAGCACGAAGATAACCATATCAATGTGCACTGTGCACATAAATGAATAAATAAAGGGTTCGAAGTACACGACGTCTGTGTAAAGACCCTAGTATGCAGACGTGAAAAGGTAAGTGTTGATGTCCTTCTTTTTGGCCAGGATATTTGACTTTCTTATAGCAGATGGTAAGCTATTCTACAACGTGGTCGAAACCCTCCGAAAGAACCGGTTTCCATAGGTCATAGTACGAGATTATGGGACACACAACAATGATTCTATCTCCGACCTACTCCATTTTCTGACTAAATTAGTAATAAAGCATTACAGGGAAGCTGCAAAGAAAGATAACAATATATAAATAAAAGTCTAGCAATAGACATCTTTTTTCACAAACGTATATATTCATGTGCAATATATTATTTGAATTTCCCGGTGTTTAATTTTGGTATACAATTTCATTGGTCAAGTCTAAACCACGTGATAGCTGACCCCTGTTTCAGCAGGTGAACCCCACTGGGGGACAGAAAAATTTGCAACCGCACTCCATCTTTGATTTTTTGAACGATAAAAAAAAGATACAAGTAATTTGACCTTTTATACGGCAAAAGTTTTCTAAGCATCATCCCAAACACAAGGATACACATCTTGGACTTTTGGTGAGTCATCATCAATGTTTGTTTACATCTGATCACGCCCGCACGTGTTTCAGTGAACCATGTCACGGCGCCCGAAGGAAAGTTTTGGTGTTGGGCCATAGCTTCATAACTCGGCTTTTGAGGTACGCTAATGAATTGCCCTCGCGTGCGAATTTAGGGCTTCATCATGACGTTGTTGAATATCACGGTTTTTCAGGAGCTGGTATCAATCGGATATAGAGAGAGTTTTCTCGTAGATTCCGTGGGTCAGGTTTTGACGTTGTTTGTTTACAATGCGGTGGCAATGATTTGAGCTGCCCCTCGGCAGACCCAGACACGGTCGTACAGGAGATTTGTACATTTGTTGACTGGTTGGTACAATCCTGTGGTGTTCAAACGGTTGCGGTATGCAAATTATTTTTCCGGGCATCAACGCGAGCCCACAAGGGTGACGTCTCAGTTCATGTTTACAACGAGCGGGTTTCACGGGTTAATACTTTCCTAGCACAACGTTTGTGTTGTCCTCAGACTATTTTCTGGGACCATCGGCGGTCGATTTGGGACGTATTTTCCTTGTTAAATGCGGACGGCGTCCACCTTCGTGACCAAAAACCTTATTATCGGTCGATTAAAAGTTGTGTTCTTTTCGCTCTCGGTTCATAGCTATAAATAGTAACACTAGCGTTGTTTCAGTTTGGTCGCAGTTGGTATGCGAGTGGTCTCCCCTTTTACTACGGGAAATAAGATTTTACTTGCCTGCTGTTGTTATCAGTTATATATTTAATTATTTCGTTTTCANAACGGCACCATGCAGATGGTGGTTACCACTGATGACAATGGGGGTACCAGTATCCAGTGAGTGGGTTCCAAAATCCAGCACAACAAAAACTTTGTCTATCGAGGAATGGACAACAAACTTTTCAGTTTTCATTGCAGTTTATTGTAGTAATGACACTCTTGCTTATCCCCAACTCCTCAAGTACCAATCAATGGTACGCCATTTAGCGTCCAAGCCAGCCGATTGGCAATATTATGATACAAATTTTCGACGTATCCGTGCCAATTCTCCTGCATCCCTCCGTTTGGATACATTCCATCTAGAACTATGGAATGAAGCCCTGTCGCGGCGTCCCACTTCGGGGATGTTAGCTGCGCATACCAAAGTCGGAGTGTGCCATAAATTTGCTCGCGGGAAACATTGTCTAGGTTGTCGCTATTCACACAAATGCGGCATTTGTGGGGCAAAACATTCTATTGCGTTTCACTTTTATGATGTCTTGTGGCGCTTAATTTATAGGCCGCAACTTTACTCATAAAAAATGATATCTGAAAATATTTTAATCCTAAAATATGTTAAATAAACTTTCGGCCATCCAAGAGATGAGCCATGTTCCGCCAATACCTTGTTGTGTCATTTTCTCTGAGTAAACAGAGCTTGCTGTCCTGTAAGGAGGTGTGAGGGTTTATAACTATAGAAGTGCAGTGTAAAAATAAAAGTCTAGCAATAGACATCTTTTTTCACAAACGTATATATTCATGTGCAATATATTATTTGAATTTCCCGGTGTTTAATTTTGGTATACAATTTCATTGGTCAAGTCTAAACCACGTGATAGCTGACCCCTGTTTCAGCAGGTGAACCCCACAGGGGGACAGAAAAATTTGCAACCGCACGCCATCTTTGATTTTCTGAACGATAAACAAAAGATACAAGTAATTTGACCTTTTATACGGCAAAAGTTTTCTAACCCTCCCACCGCACCCCCATTTCAAATTATATATGTTAAGATGTTTCTATGTTGTTTCAATTTTATGATGTCTGGTGGCGCTTAATTTATAGGCCGCAACTTTACTCATAAAAAATGATATCTGAAAATATTTTAATCCTAAAATATGTTAAATAAACTTTCGGCCATCAAAGAGATGAGCCATGTTCCGCCAATACCTTGGTGTGTCATTTTCTCTGAGTAAACAGAGCTTGCTGTCCTGTAAGGAGGTATGAGGGTTTATAACTATAGAAGTGCAGTGTAAAAATCAAACTTATGAAAAAAATGCTCCTATAAAATTGATTAATAAATTAAGTATACCAAAATTAATAACAATAACAAATTTGTCGAAACCACAACTGTAACTGAAGGTGAAGTGTGTAACACCACTTTAATATAAGTTTTAGAATTTTAGAGGGGTACTGAATAATTTCAAAATGATAATGAGTGAATTCGAAGTGTGTTAATTATAAACCGTGCCACTACTTAAGAGGAAAATATGGTCATCGTGGTAACGGCAAACATCGGGGACTAAAGAATCTACCAGCAGAGTGTGTTAAACAAAATTTAAATAAATGTGACAAAATCGTATAAGTACGTACGTGTATAAGAGTTCAGGGTGCGAAAAAAATATACATGAAATGAAAAATAAATTATTTCAAGAAATAAGGAAAATGAGAAAAAAAATGTATTGTGAGTTGTAGATGGGACAGCCCATCACCAGGGCTCATTCTCCGAACACCAACTCTAGAGAATTGAAAGGAAGGTGTTTATATAGGAAATCCTTTGAAGTTTAGTTATAGCCCGTTTCAACTAAGAATGTCAACTCATTTTGTAGATATGATACTAAAGTCAATAATAAAATGGATAAACAGTTTTTTATTCATACATATAACTGTAATACACATTTAATACCGCACTAAGTAATAGAAAACAATCATTAGATATTAATATTTACATTATATGAAAAACAAAACTAACATTACATCATATGAAAAATAAAATTCCTTAATTTAAGCCACATTGAAAATAATGTCAGCAATAAAATAAAGTTTCTATTTATACATATAACAGTAATACACATTTAATACAACACTAAAAGTTAATTATTAGATATAAATATAAACAGTAAACCACTAAATGAAACTGAAGTTTCTAGCACAAATCACATTCTCTAAATATATCACTTAAGTCTCTAGCAAAACAAATCTATCATGGATGCAGAAGCTGTGATGCTGAATCGGCGTAGGTCATCAGGTCGATAGAATGGTTCATAATATAGTGTAAACTGATTTCAAATGTGTTTAACATGTCAAAATTGAGACGAAAATATATTAATTTAATTATATTGCACGAGTGCGCTATTCCGATGTAAAACTGTGTATGTTGTATACTATTTTCCGATAATGACTGGTCAACATATTAGCCACATTAAGGCTAAACAGAAGCACACGATTGAATAAAATTTCATTACTCTATTCAAATTTGAATAATTTTGACATTTACCCACCACATTTAAAATTCCAAATCACAGATTTTAACATTTAATCTTGGCTATTAAAGAAAACGGGTTCACAATAATTTGTTGCTTTAAACAGAGGACTTTATTAGCAGCTGTATCACATCTGATTTTCGGCAATGGCAAAAACCCTAAATGTAACAACATATTAAATGCTTTTATATTTTTATCAATTTATTGAAGATTTTAACAGAAATGCATTATTTTTTATAAATACAATGTTCGTATATAAATATATGTATGTTTCAGTCGTATTGACTAAGATGTCTGTGTACCCAGTATCACTGTATGGGAGGGTGGATGGATGTTATCCAGTGTCACTATATGTATATGATTTATGAATATATCCCGTACAGAATTATTCGAAAGTTTTGCTAAGTACGCATTTTTTCACTGGTCTAACTTGATAAATACGAAGGCATTAAGCTCTCGGAAAATTTCACTGATTACAAAGCTTTTGGTTGAAAAACTTACAAATATTGT